TCGGTCGGTGCCAGTCAACGTCAAAATTCGGACGAGCTACGAGTTTATATTTAATTGACTTCAAAAATAAGGTTTTATTATCATCTGTAATGTATCTTTTTATTTATATCCAACGTTTTCGTTAAACTGTAGATTTTTTAAAGGTACTGCAACTATTATGTCATGTTATAGTTGTATGATGAAATATATAAATTTCATCAAATCATAAAATTTACTAGTTAAAACTTGGATAAACTAATATAATGTTTATACAGTAATGTGTAGGTATCTCCACAGATGATCCTAATAAATTCTACTTAACCAAGATTGACTTACTAATTTAAAATCTGTATTAAAATAATGTGAAATCTATATTAGTATTATAAAACGTATTATAAAGAGAGAAAGACACTCATTTTTTAATCATCAAAATTCTTACAATATTGTGAAGTAACAACAGCAAACTATATTATATGAGGGTGACACAAACTATAATTTACGCGAGCGAAGTCACGGGAAAGTAGCTAGCATTAAACAAATTATTAAATTTATTTTGAACTGATTTTAATGATTTAAGGCTTCGATATCGCTACACTCTTGATAGAGTGGTCGTGGTCATCACATCAGGGTAAGTGGCCCGCCGAATAATCCTTCGCCATTCCTCCTGCAGTGCTGTCTTCCTTGTCTATGATTTAAGATATAAGATTAATGATTTAATGCAGGGGGTGTCAAACTCAAATTTACAGAAAGCCATATATTAATAGAATATATAGGCGAGTTAGGTTCGAGTTAAAAAATATATATTTATTACTGAATTATAATTATAAAAGTAAATATAATTAACACTCTCCCGCTCATCTCGCTACACTTGAAATTACTTATAATGTAAGTGCGCGCATTTAAAAATCCAATTATCTGTAACAAGTTCACGTCTATTTTAGCGATATATCTATGATTTAGGATAAACTTCTTACATGAAGATAATTATTGTTTTGTCCAATAAAACAAACTCTAATAATATTTAAAAAGTTAACTATAAAACGAGGTCGCACCGAATTTGAACTAATTCCTATTATCTATTACGCGAACACATAATGTTCGCGTAATAGAACATATAAATGTAATTAAATTAATCTTTAACATATAAATGTAATTAAATTAATAAAGTGTAGTCTATGTTACTCGCTGTCAATCTATAAAGGTTTGAGAATTCTCCAGTATTAATTTACAGCGCAGAAAAAATTTAATCTTTCCTTTTTCATCATCATCATCATCATCATCAGCCGGAAGACGTCCACTGCTGAACATAGGCCTCCCCCTTTCCTTTTTATAGTGACCGAATATCCAATGGAGGCGGACGAAACGAATTTAACCAGAAGTAGCTTGGATAATAAACATAAGAGTTTAGGAGTGGGGGCTCGCTACGTTACAACAATGTACAAAGGTGTGACGTCGTGCAATATTTCAACTCGATGTATCGCCGTGATTAAGCAAAAAAAAATACACGTTTTATATCCTTCGATTCGACCCATTACGCCGTTCTGTAAGTAATACAGTAATTTAAGTAAAGATAGTTATTAAAGGTATTAAATTACTTTTTTCTTTTTGCTAACCTCTCAAAGGAATATTACGCAACTAGTATACAGCACAATCAAGATTCAATTAATAAATCATCTGAGAGTAGTGAGTATTTAATGTTAGTGATTTTTTGATACATATCGGTGACTATATCAAAAATATCATATTGTAAAAGAATGAACTATGAAATATATTAAAAAAAAAAATCTTTTTTACTCGGTAATATACTATTCGTTAAATTCACCAAGTGTTTTAAGTTATAACACGTAGTGTTGCTGTACTACGTTTATGTAGTACAATGGTCGTTTGACATGTAACTTTAGACAATGCAGTGGATTTTAATAATGTTTACAAGCTTTTAGTTGTAATCATTATCATAACTAATAAAAACTCCTTTAATAACTCAATAACAACTCCTTTAGTGACATTATTATTAAAAGAAACCCACAAATTATAAAATAGCTATTTGACTTAGGTATTTTTATGATTACGATGTTTTTATACCAAACTAGGAGATGTTTCTTGTCATAATACGCCACGCTATATAAATAACTTATCCAAATACCTTCTAAGTTAACTTTACACAGTTCCGGAACTTATAAAATGTCAATTATAATTTATAATAAATTACCTCAATACCTAACGAACGAATCAACATACACTCGATTTATAAGAATGCTAAAGAATATACTATTAAATAAATGCTATTATACAGTGAATGAATATTTGAATGAAAAGTTTTAGATAAAATGGAATGTCTGACCCTCTTCTTTCCATCTTTCTATATTGCCATGCCTATCAAGGTGCATGTGAATATTATTAACTGAAATTTATGCATTTCGTTTCTAAGTCACATGTATGCAATGCAATGAAATAAATATTTAAATAAATAAATACTGCTATTAATGTTATCACAGATGAAGCTGGAAAATGTGACTGGTAATATGCATAGACGTTGTAACTCACAGACCTACTGCTGTAAATAAGAAAACTGGAGCATCGATTATTATGAACCTCAAACTATTACCACCATCTACTTTCCAGGAAGAAGACGAAGTGAAACCAAAGCTGAGAAGTATTCATGCCAAAATCTGTGACCATTTATTAAATTTGTTGGTTTACGCAGATCAAATATCTATCGCAGAAACGTAAGTCGTATCGCAGTAAGTAAGTAAGATATGGTAAGACGTTTAACACTTGAACTCAAATGACTCAAAATACTGTATACGATGAAGAAAACAACAGTCATAATAAGATTTGTACGAAAATAGTATTTACAAACTCCAAGTCTTCTGTATATTGCAGGATACCATAAATTATCTTGATGAAAGTCATATTGGAGTTTCGATGATAACGTTGTTGTAGCACTGGTTTCAGAATACATGTCCAAAACCAAAAATTCGAAAATAAAAAGCGTTTTACATATGACACATTGGCTAGTTTCCCTACAGATAACAGGTACAAGAAGTGTTTCGCTTTGTGAGATCTTACAAAAATTTGTTTCAAGTTGTTATGTGACATAAAAACTTGATTTACTATTTCTAATTCATGGGAAATCTATTACCGAGACTTAAAATACGCACATTTTTGAGTAATAAAAAACAATACATTCAGCTGTCATTCAAGAACAATATAGAAAAAACAATATTTATTATCCTCAAAAAATACTAATATACCAACATCTATTGGTATATAAGATAGTTTTTGCGGTACCACTTGTAAGCGCCCATTGTACGAGTACTAAACTTAGTACACCTCTAAAGGTACATATATATTTTTTTTATATATTAAGTATTTCTTTGTAATATTAAATAATAGATGATTTAATAAAAATATTAAGAACTGGTTTACTAAAATTAGTGTTTGATTTTATTTGGGCGTTAATGGGTAATAATAATACCCGACGGCCAAACAAACAAAAATTAACCATCATCCTTATGGACCGATTATAATGTAATCTTATGTATTTAATATGTTTGCAAAGACAGAGAGCCGGATAAACCAGATATAGATAAAGGAGTGTTAACGTTAACTGGAGTTTTGGGTGGAAGTTGAATAAATAAAGACTGGTATTTCTTACAATAAAAAAAGTTGTGATCTGTGGAACCTCAATTTTTTTTCACACCTTGCAAATTAATGACAGGTCACATCAGAATTGACGATTCGACGTAGTGTGCGATGGTCTATTTGTATGGTTTATTAACTTTAATCACAAGTGTGATATAATTATGTACAAAGAGTTCTAAAATTCCAAAAAATCAGTAATAAAACTCTTACATAAAGATAAGTATTGTCCAGTTCAATAAAACGTGGTATATACAAAAGAGTAAAAAAATTCCTTTCTATCGTCTCCTTCGGCGTGTTACACTCAGATGTCCCTTCATATTTAGCCAAATATTTAAAAAGTTCCATAAACTTTTACAATGTTCGATACTTCATACTTTATGTCAACCTTGAAATTACTGGGGCAAAATTAAAAGTAAAATAATTGAATTGATTTATTGCATGTTTCAAAAATAAATAAGTTTATGTAGGGGTTCTGTACTGAACTATTTTTGGATTACTTGAGTATTGTATATCGTCCACGTCAGTCATCGTCCTTCTACTGCATTACCTACGAAGTATAAAAATAAAAAATATATTTATGTGTAATTGTAGGCGTGTGGATCAGAAACATATTTGGCCGGTCTCACTATTAAATAAGTTAGAACCATATTTAAGACTACGAAACCCTGCAAAAAAACTTCTGTTTTAAAATGATACGCTTTTCTGTTTTATTATAAGTGGATAAATGTTATATAAAAATAAATTACTTGATAATATTCGAGGGTGACTATTTACGCCTGTCAGTCAGTTTAAAAATATAATTATTTATTATATTCATTTAGTTATTATAAGCCTCTTGCAACCTAAATAAAAAGAAATATATTAACACGTAAATCAATTATTTTTGATCAAATAATTAATATTTATTTTTGTACATAAAATTTAGTATCGGTTATAAATAATATATACAAATAAAACAAAAGATCTGTGAATTCATTTCTTTAGAATAAGTATTTCTTTTCTTCAAAATGAGAATAAATCAACTTTGATACCTATGTTTAGTAGAACATCTTAACTAAATGATAAGTTTCATATTTAGTTCAATAGATGGCACCACGTTTATCGCAGCACACAAGTTCTCTTTGGTTTAGCGCTGCGCTAGCATATCGATTTTATGAAGAACGTCCAGTATTTACACGACTAAAAATACCACAGGCAAACTTTGAAATATAAAAAGAATAATAGATCTTATCCATATATTTCAATAATATTCGTTTTCTTCGAATTGAATACTATCTAAATATGCTTTATTAACCTAAATAAATGGCTCCTTTAATAAATTGCAATTGAGTGTATTAGACGCGCTACAGTGGCAACACAGAAATGTCTATGAGTTTGACCCCGAAGCTCGTGTCCCGAGCAGAAGGATCGAGTGGTGTAGGGCCAGGCCCTTCGTTTTTAATTTTCATCACGCGGAATATTGTATAAAATGGGCACATAATAGGTAAATAAGCGTTTTTATCTCGCCGTACAAACTACAGAGTTCACGTTTTCTTCTGACAAGAAACGTATTTCAATCTATTAAAAATACATCGCGTGGAGTTCCTACAGCTAAGAATATCGTCAAATGTCGCGACTGATCGTTCCATTTCTACTTAATTAAATATCTGTGTTATTTTTAAATACATGTTTGTGTTATTTGTTCGATAGAAATATGGCGTGTGATTTAAATTAAATCATTGCTATGTTAAAGTGAAATTACAAGAACCTCTGGATTGTAGTGAATGTGTTAAGACAATGGTGTATCGATTATTTTGCGCTAACGAAATGTCATCCCGGTACCGTAGTGTTAATATTAGAAGTCTATGTTTGTGGCGACGATAACTATTGTCTAGGCATCTACGCGTTTTATATTGAGCATACAGAACTTGAATTGAGTGAGTGACCAAAATAGTGCCGACGATTCACATTGGGATGAATTTCGTCCGCTCTTTGATAATATCTATTTTCTAACATTTCGTGAAGAGGATAAAAGTAGCGTAGCTAGGAAAAAAACATGACCCAAATAACAACAGTTCTTGACAAAAATCAATAAACTATGTTGTCAAAACTGGTAACTTGTAAAAATCATTACACGATTAATTGATTTTAATTTATGAATTAAATGTCATATGACTTAATAACTCATGTTAACTAAATTAATCTTTTAAATGACAAATTGTATTAAAACGTAAAGGTACTTACTACTTATACTTACCAATAGTCACAGTTAAACTTACGTCACCTGAATTATTTGCATTTTAAATTGTTTATAAACGATATATGAACCACATTTTGTTGAACAAATATAAACATATTTTACGTGCAATTAAATTTCGCCTTTTAATATTAAATTAAATAAGTTAAATTATTGGCGTCTAACAAGCTAAATAACAAAATTATTTAATTTAATTCTTTTTCTGATTTGTTTCAGTTATCTACAAGAATAGAAAATCGTGCTCAAATTAAACGCAGTAAGTTGCTTAATTTAGCTGTTTTATTATATTCTGTCAATCATGGCCAACCCAAATCGTGAAAGTGTTAGTACTCGGTTTTCCGACAACTATGATCTGAAAGAAGAACTAGGAAAAGGGGCTTTTTCTATAGTGAGGCGAGCAGTGCAAAAATCAACTGGTTACGAATTTGCTGCCAAAATCATCAATACGAAAAAACTATCGGCTAGAGATTTTCAAAAACTGGAAAGAGAAGCAAGAATTTGCCGAAAACTTCAACATCCTAACATCGTAAGATTACACGATTCTATTCAAGAAGAACATTTTCATTACTTGGTATTCGATTTAGTAACCGGTGGTGAACTATTTGAGGATATCGTGGCTCGCGAATTTTATTCCGAAGCAGATGCTTCTCACTGTATACAGCAAATTTTAGAGTCGGTACATCACTGCCATCACAATGGAGTTGTGCATAGAGACTTAAAGCCAGAAAATCTTCTATTGGCCAGCAAAGCTAAAGGTGCTGCTGTAAAACTAGCCGATTTCGGTTTGGCTATAGAAGTTCAAGGTGACCAACAAGCATGGTTTGGTTTTGCCGGCACTCCTGGTTATTTATCGCCAGAAGTTTTAAAGAAAGAGCCATATGGCAAACCAGTAGATATATGGGCATGCGGAGTGATATTATATATTTTATTGGTTGGATATCCTCCATTTTGGGATGAAGACCAACACCGATTGTATGGTCAAATCAAAGCAGGAGCTTATGATTACCCTTCTCCTGAGTGGGATACTGTCACGCCGGAAGCGAAAAGTCTAATTAATCAGATGCTGACTGTTAATCCTAGCAAACGAATTACAGCTTCTGAAGCACTGAAACATCCATGGATCTGCCACCGAGAACGCGTCGCGTCTGTAATGCACAGACAAGAGACCGTTGACTGCTTGAAGAAGTTCAATGCACGTCGCAAATTGAAAGGTGCAATTTTAACGACTATGCTTGCAACGCGGAACTTTTCCGGAAAATCGATGGTGAACAAAAAAGGAGATGGATCGCAAGTAAAGGAATCGACTGATAGTAGTACCACTTTGGAGGATGATGACTTAGATAAAGACAAGAAAGGTGTAGACAGAGCATGCACTGTTATCTCTAAAGAACATGATGAAGAAGGATTATCAAAAGCAGACTCTTTCGGTAAAGCTCGTGGCGACAGTAATGCGTCTCTACGTAGAGCAGAAGTGATCAAGATTACAGAGGTACTAATCGACGCCATCAACAACGGTGACTACGATACTTATTCCAAATTATGTGACCCTAATGTAACTGCATTCGATCCAGATGCATTAGGCAATCTAGTGGAAGGTGTAGAGTTCCACAAATTCTTCATTGACAACACCCCAAGTCATGTTAAGACTAACACGACAATTTTAAATCCTCGAGTACATTTACTCGGAGATGACGTTGCAGTAATAGCATATGTGTGCGTGACACAAAGTGTGGATGCAGAAGGTCGACGAGCTACACACCAATCGCAAGAGACTCGTATTTGGCACAAACGCCTCAACAAGTGGACGGCGATACATTTCCATCGCTCCTAACTAGGCCCATTTCATAATCAACCCTTAGCGCCATTAGATAGGGGTGCAGGTCTCGCAAAAGATGTTGTATGCAATGGCGACATCGAGGCGGAGGTAATGTCATTTTAAAGCCTTGAAGGTGTGGCATATGAAAGAAAACTTATATCCAGTTCAGCTATGAAATCTACACGAATTTTATTAGAAAAATCTTTATAATCCCAAGAAGTTAAGTTATTACGTCTAATGAAATGTTATCTACTACCTACACCAATCTTAGTACTTCTTTACTTAATCAATATCTCGTTTTAAAGTAAGAAATAAAAAATGTGGCTAAAATGTGATACTTACAATGAAGATATCCATTGCTTTGTGCTAGTTATAGTAGGGTACGAAATTTTCACCTCAGCCACGATCGAATATTGTCAACGAATATCGAGACAAATTGATACTGATCAAAGAGAAATCTCTATAATCAATCAGATCTGATATATTGAATATACTTTTAAGAGTAAAATCAGCAAAAATTTCAAGGTTTAGAATTATTAGCACATTTCTCAGTAAGTCTCTCTACATTTTTAACTATGAATGTTTTGTCGTGCTTAAAAATGGTGTTCTATTTGTTATCAAATACCTAGCTAGTAAGGTTTAAGTAACTAATAAATCATACAGTTATTGGCACTATAAAATATATGTGAGATGATTTCTAGTGGGTCATGAATTTACCTTTTTATGTATGTACTTTTAGAATTGTTGATTTAGTATTTTCTTCTTCATTAAAAACTATTATAGATAATGCTGAATTCAACTTTATACATTTTAAGTGGATTATATCAATTTTGTCAATTTTAGATTTTAAAGTGTTGTTACCAGCTTCTTGCTTTTTTATCGACTATAAGGGTATTAGAGATTTTATTAAAATTCATTCATTCATATTTAAAAGTTTAAACACATAATATGAAATCAGCTCGACTCGTCCTAAGATCATCACTTGGTAACTTCTAAGTTGGTATATTTTAAGTCTACTCTAAGATACCTATTCAAGGGAGCCCTTAGATAGCTTAGTTATTGTAATTACCTAATAATATAGTATTGTGATTGTTGCTCCTAGGTTGCATTATTGGTTTTGTACCTGATTATAAAGATCAAAAAACATAATAAAAAATACATAGCAAATAATATTTTAAAGTGATAACTGTGCAAGATAATGGTCGGTTTTGTGGTTCTTTGTACTAAAAGTAAATCTTTATGAGGAGCTTTGTCAACGGTGATATTAATGTATAATGTGAAGTATTTTTTGCACAGTTTCACTTATGAAATGTGCTTTATAAAACTAATAAAATCTCTATCTGTAAGTCTGCAGTAATTCAGTATTTCCTAGAAATATATTTAGATATAATGATTATACTTAAATAACATTTAACCATGTTTTTTACAATTTTGTAACATATTTTAGCGTAGTTAGCAAAACTTACTTTATATAACATCAGAGGAGTTGGAATTGTAATTGATAAAAATTGTATTGCTTAATTATTATTAGAAAAAAACTACAACTGATAGTTTTACTGTATCCAGAGTACATACATAACTGTGCCATTATATCGAATTTAGTGCCAATAACTGTGTACCTAAAAATGTATTCTAGTCTTTATTGTTACGCATATTTAGTATTTAATCAACGTTTTTAAATTAATTTTGAACATATACATAAATAGTAATTTACAATATGTACATAGATATTGAATTGCACATTGCATGTTAAAAAGTGTCGTCTTCAATACCTACTATAGCTTGTTTCGAAATTTATTTATTGTTTTTCTTGAATATAGACAATTATTTATAAAATACGTTACTAATTCTTTTATACAGGAATATGCTGATATTTTATTATTTATTATTATCTTAAAGTATTATTTAATTGAATTTATTTGTCTTTAAAATATACCAAATGGTCCCAAGTATAAAATCTTTAGTTACCTAACGAATATTACCATGAAGTTACCATTTACGTCGCCTACAGAATTCATACTTAAATCATTTTTTTTTTTCTATTGTAACGGAATTGTTATTAGGTACTACTGCTTGTAAACACGGCTACATGTCAGGTTAACATAATAATAAAATTAAGGTTTAAAATCAAATAAAGAAATTTGACAGATTTGTATAGCCTGACATGCTGTTGTCTGTACTAAATTAGTAAATAAGCGGGTACACCGAATATGAATCATGCAATGTAGTTATGAATCTCAAACCGATAACCTCGCTAATTTTCGAGTAATTTAGAAAACGTCGCAAATTCATCATAGTTCACTTATATTGCGATATACAATAAATTGAGAAATTATTCCAGCTCATTAGTGCCTACGCCTAGATTGTGCTATTACACACTAAAATAGTATGAATTTAAATAATCATTTTACAAAAATCCCCATGCCATGGGAAAACCGATTAGAATATCACATTATCATCAATTTAAAATATACACCAAAAACGTAATAAACTAAAGATCTGTTTCCACATTTTTGAAAGTCATAAGTAACCTAATCAAAAAATAACAATCATCACAAGAGTTGATTGGTGTTAATTCAATATAAAACTTAAAAATCAACTATTGTTTCATATTATAAATAACATAATTATATGTCTTATAATCACGGAGTGTTTCAATGTTATTGCCTATTTTAAAAAAAGTTTTTATTGAATATTTAGTGTAAAATTTTATCCCTAATAAATAAATACTTGTTAAAATGTTCAATATATTACGTATAAATACCCATAGGCTGAGCTAGAAACTTGCCTTGGATTGATGAGTATAGAGACAGGGAGAATCTCAAGAAAATATATTTTACAAAATTTTCAGTATTTTCAAATTTACCTATAAATCAAGGCCCCTGAATTTTATTATCAAAAACTCTTTGAGATTTTTATTCCCAAATCAATCCACTGTCAACCACTATACATTTTAAATTAATAACAAAAGCCTGTGAACAATGAGGTTATTTTAACAACATTCTTATAATTTATAGAAGCTTTGCCTATGGGTTAATGTTTATTTAATATCAAAGAGTTGCACAAAAATCATGTTACTTCCAGAAAACAACTAACTTTTCAGTCTTTTTGAGTTAATATGTGTTGTCTTCCCGCAATAGTGTTCCATAAATTTTAAATAACTCTTTAAATGGAATACTTACTAACCAGTTTCAATAAAATATAATTAATATAAAATTCAAATTTTCAAAAGCTCTCCGCAAGTTGTTAATAGTGCACTTTTAACTGTTAGCATACATTTATTGACACTGGCTTACATTTAGGGGAGCGTTGCTAAGTCATATTATCATCATATTTCTATTGGCTGCTTCTTTGTTAATAAATCAAATAACATATTAAGCAATGCATTTAATCCATTGATTTTTATAGTACCTACTTATACTATACTTTATAGCCATGTTTGCTGTTTCAATACAGATGGAAAGGTACTTAATTACAAATGCATATTTACTTTTTCCTACAATGCTGCTCAATGGTTAAAATAAAATAAAGCAAACAGTTTTAATGTAATTTTTTTAATATGGGTGCAGTGCAATATGTAATGGAAAAATAATCAAAAATATATTAACAAAGACATAATAATAATTTCCTACTATATGTTTAAATGTAGTGTAGTTGCTGCTATTTAACCAACATTGAGTATATGACCATTCAGTTAGATGTAATTTTTGGATTATGTAAAAAAAATAGTTATATTAAGCAGCAAAAGGTATTGTTTAGTTAATCTTATCAAATAATGTTGATAAACAATTTTTTAAGCCATTATTTTGAGAAAATACAACCTGTTTTTATATAGAAATCATTAATGTTGCACCCTTGCTTATGACGTGGTTGAGATTATTTTGTATATTTTATAGATAACCACATTTAAAACCACTGTTTATTAAGTTTTTATTTGCTCTTTGTTATGGTAACGGCTAAGTTTGCTGTAGAATAATTTCCAAATGTGAAAGTGTAGATGTATTAAAGAATTGTCAATAAATATATTTGTATTCAACATAATTTCTTGATCCTCTGCATTGCCGATTATCATGTAAAATTCTCTAAAAATAAAGTTCTTTTGATCTATGGAACAATTTTAATCAACTTATTTTTATGTTACAATTCAATTTTATTTAATAATAAATACACTATGCTACCAAAACTTATACATATGGCAAACAAGTAATACCAATATTATAAATGTCATACCTTGAACTTTTTTAAAATCTTTACTTTCTTGTAGACACCTTTACAACCATCAAGAGTGACATTGAAATTATTTAATAAATTATTATATTCATTATTACTTATCTTCTGATCTCCTAGTACATCATTGATACATTTCCTCAGTGTATTTAGGGTGAGTGGTTCATATTTGATAAACTTTTTTGTAACATGTACATCATTAAAGGACTCTGTTAATGTTTCATAAAAATGCTCATCACAGCTTTTTATTAACTCTTTGGTAATAATATCACAATTTATTATTAAAATTATAGTTACTTTTTTCTTCAAGTCTTCACTTTTTGTAATAATATCTAACATAAACTTTTTAACTGTTAGTAAATCAGACTCTTTTAAATCATCAACAACAATTGTAGATGTCTTGCAAATATTAATCCCATACATTGTATCTACTGAAAATGTATTTATGAAACTCGGCATAGTGAAATGATATATATTTGAAGAGTTCCAAATATTTTCTAACAATAGAGATGTTGTGTATGTCTTTCCGACTCCAGTTGCACCATACAAAAATATTATTTTACTATCCACATCTTGACTTAAACTATCCAAAAATAATTCAACAGCTTTAGTTTGATCATGTACTCTGGTTTCAAATACAGTTCTTAATTCTGTTAAGTTAATACTATCAATGCATTTTATATCTAAAATCATATAAATTATAATTGATGCACACAGGACTAGTAACGTTACAAATAATTTGAAATGGCCATTATTTTTCTCAGTCTTCTTAATGTGGTATGTCTTTACAGTCCATATTTCGGATGGGGCAGTGGTAGTAGAGGTATTAGCTGTATTTAAAGCCGGAGACGGGTTTTCAGAAACTGTCGCTTCATCGTGAGACGACGACGTATTCACTGAAGTAGTACTTAGATCAACATCCATAGGCTCGCAACTTGTATCAAACTTTTCCATTATTGTACTTTTTCCTGCAACTCGGCAGGAATCGCTATATAAAATCAGAGAAACTTAGTAAAAGACTAACATATAAAATTAAAAACGTATTTGTAGCTGACAAAATAATTTCCAGTCATAAATTTAAATTTTAAAACGTAACAGGGACTAATTTGACATATTAATCCGTAAGTATATTCTGACTAGTGATGTATGGAATCGATCACCATTAATCGATTAATCATTTTTTTAAATAATCATTAATTATCGATTATGATTTCCTAATCGAAAGCTAATAGTCAATTATTTCTTAAAACGTTAGCAATAGGAATAGTTTAAAAGGTTGGTATAGTACCGACTTACTTTACTTCGATGGCTCAGCAACACTTAGCGGATTGCGAGTGTAAATATTATTAGTAGATTTTCTATTACTTATTGCGGCAACCCTCGCACGAACAAATTGGCAACATTATTCTTTGATCGGGGAACTCCTGACAAACGAATGAACGGATGAAATACGAATAAATCGTTTCTTGCTAAATGCACATGTATGTATACACGGTACATACCTATACCCATAGATTATACATAACACTGGTACCTATACCAAAATAATATTTTGTTCATTTTTTGTCAGTCTGTTTATTCGGGCTAATCTCTGTAATGGCTGGACCGATTTTGACGGAACATATACTGGCAGATAGCTAATGTGACAAGGAAATACTATGGCTACTTACCACGCGAACGAAATCGCGGGAACAGCTAGTGTAATTCTATAAATTTTGCATTCACAATACTGGTATGCCAAACATTGTCTAAAAAGGAGTTTTAAAAATTGTTCATTAACTTGGATGCCTTTAACATACAATGGAATTAATCAGAAATCATTAATGAGGAAGTATTAAAAAAAACGAAATCACTAAAAAACGAATCTCCACTAGATGGCGGCTCTATCAAAAGTTTATTTTTGCAGGAAATGAATGGACCAAAGACAGTCATTTCCGTTCCTTTTAACTAGCATATTGAAAAACCGAAATTTGAAAATTTCTAAACTTTGATATAAATATAAATACGAAAAAGTACAAATAGAATAAGAGTTGTTTATTAAGTTTTGAAAATTAATTTACTATTAAACATGGAAGAAAATCGGAAAGGTTGTCATGGAGAAATCAAGAACGTACCGTAGTCATCTTGTTTGATTTCGGGAACTAATTTTTTTTTAAATACTTCCCATTACTAGTAATACTATACTCGATTAATCTATGTGTATAATAATCGAATCGGTACGTCATTAATTCTGACAATATACTAGTCACCTAGATATTATACGACTACATTTCGATAAACCGATATATATAATACAATACAATACAATATACATAACGAATCAAAATACTACTATAATTAAAAAGAAAAGAAATAATAAAGTGACTTTTCAAGCACAATTGAAGCTTAAACAACATGAACACTAAACTGGAATGCTAACGTGCACCTCAAAAGCGTTCCGAAGAGTAAAGCGACATCAAGGGATAACATCTCTTTCAAATACATTCAAAAAAATGAAAGGCTCTTGAGAGATAGTTGAAAGATGAATAATGAGGAAGTATTTGTAAAAAGTAAGTTCTCGAAAGCAAACTAAATCAACTAGTCATTAGCGATTTTCGGATAATGACTGAAAATTATTAAATATTATTTAAACTGCAAGTATTAATTATTTAAGTGACGTGTAAAGAAACGATGTCTGGTTTATATCTCAACATAAGTGATGGATGAGCCAATTTTTTGATTGCTCGTAACTTCCGTTGATACGATTCATCCGATTTTGGATTTGAAATGAAGGCAAAAAGTTCTACTGTGTTTCCCTGTTCCATATGAATCCTTACTTCGAATGATGTCGATATAAATAAGTAACATATTACAATAAAACTAATTTCTGGAGTAGATTGTGCAGAAAGCCTACATATCATTTTCAATATTATTGGAAAGACCAAGGAAGCACTTACCCACCGTACGAATTAGGGTAGTTCGCCAAAAATCTAAATTTTCTTCTAATATGCATTGTATTTTTTTTTTTTTTATTTATTTAAATTTATTGATTTGATATTGATATATAGACAAAAAAAAACTGTACATTTTTATCTAAGAAGGGGTTTTAAAAGAAAAGTTACGCAGTAATGAAAGTTTTAACTATATAAAAAATTAGGGAGGATTCAAGGAAATTATTAAGATGATTCATATAAAATTATATCTTGTCTGGATTTTCTAATTTTAGAAAGAGATATGTAATTAAGTTATTATTAATTTTTACAACTATGATAAAATAACAATATTTCTGTCATATTTGCTGCTATATAACAATATATAATTGTTTTTTAAAAACAACATAACTAACAATTTTACTGCTTTTTTTTTCTATAGTAGATTTTACACTGAACTCTTACATACCATTTTTTTTTAAATAGCTAAATTCGCATAAAATATAATACAGTGAAACATGTATTTTACAAAAACTACATAACTGTATCTATTTTTATACAAAAATGAAGTATCTAACCGCGCTTAGGCAGTTTTTGTGGAAAATATAACGTCAATATATATGGAGAATGGATTATTTCCATATAGTTTTTTATACCTATAAACTACTATATTATTTCCAAACTTTTACTTTTATTTTTACAAAAAAACAATGGTCCGAATTTTATGGACGTACTAGTAATAAGAGATGCCATCCCCTTACTATAGCATTACTTTTCGGAACTCTTTTAGGGGCATATAAGCATTCCAGTTCCTTAGGCAAATAAAATAATCGATATATCGAGTTTGACGTTTATCGGTTTTAGTTTTTATCGTTATCACTTTACAACGCCAATATTATTAGGTTTTAAGTAAATCCAAAAGATCTTATTTTTAAAAACCTTTCCTATGTAAATAAAATTCTTTGTATTATTATTTTATTTAAAATGATATATATTTGACATATGCTATAATATACGTATGCGAATTTATGGGAAATTAGCTGTAATATATATATATATATATATGCAAATAAAAATAATTACTGTCAGCGAAAGGTGGCTGCTAGCTACTGAATTTAGGAACAGCGACTTGTGCTTAATAGAAATGCAACAATATATCGAAAAAATCAAAATATTTCTATATATCGGCGCACAAAAATCGTTTTCGAAGAAACAGCGATACCGATATTGAAAATAACCAATATATCGACACCTGTTATCGAATGAAATCCAAAAAGTAAAAGTATATCAGTTGACTAAAGAATCATGTCCACTTCCTATACATTGATTGATCTGTCATATGTTTATTTTAAAGGTCGCGTCAATATAAATTTAAACCAGATTAATTCATTTGAGGTTTGAGGAAACTCGAGATGATGACGTAGTATTTAAAAAAAAATAAAGCACTAAAAAGCACCTCCACTAGATGGCGACTCTAGGAAAAGTTGATTTTTGCAGGAAACGAATGGACCAAATATAGTAATTTCCGTTCCTTTTAATTATCATATTAAAAAACTGAAATTTACAAAATTCGAAACTAAGTTATTTATTGACTTATTGGTTCACCAACAATTGTTACAATGACAAGTCATATACAACTATTATTTCCATAAATAACGCTATTTGTACAATTAATTAAAGGTAAAGGTCAACCACTTGCACATACAAAATTAAAAACGGTAAAATATACTTTATATCGGTATAAACAAAACATTTAGTGTTACACGTATTATTTACTCTTTCTTAATTTGCAAGAGATACGTAGACAAACATAGAGATATACACACGACACACAGTTTCATCAAAAAATTAACTCCTTCCGCAAAAAAAAAATCCTATAACTTAAACTGAGAAAAAAAGGTCAAATAATAGTTCAGTTGCTTGTAGCATCCAGCAAGCATTTACGGAAGATGTTATAATTAATTGCATGTACATCTTATGAGTCATCCAGACTATTTAGAAGTTTGCTTAACCTGCGAATACAGGAACTCGATCCCAACACTTCTCCGTAGAGGTGGAACCAATGGTTTGACAGGGGTTCTTGGCAATTTGCTTGGCACTGAAGCACTACGTCCGTGTCTTACTAGATCTGGGCGAACAGTCTGTGTACCGTCTCGTTATGTTTAATATATTGTATTATCTGTCTAAAAGTGTAGACTCACTCTTGACCTATTTTCTTATCTATTATTCTGAAGTCTATTGTTTTTGGTTCTGTCTTTTAGCCGCCATGTAAGAATTTAAATATATTTTTTTAAGCTTGCGTGAAGATTACATTTTAGTTATTTTAATTGTATTTCAGTTTTATTAAACAATTTATTATTTATAATAGCGTGTTTTCTGTGCCAAGGGCCATTATCAGACTCGCGCTATAGCACTCTGAATTTAAGTTTACAGAGAAGTTGTGAACAGTCTATTTCATTATTGAGTAACTTGTACACAAAAAGGAGGTCATGAATTGTACGACGTTTTTCCAGTGTTAGATTGTGGAATTGTTCAAGCCTTGAATAATTGTAACCTCTTTTATACGTATTTGTTTTATAAGCAAGGTAAATCAATACACATACGAAAAAGTACAAATAAAATATTAGTCGATTATTGAGTTTAATATTGGAATAAAACCGGAATGGTTGTCATGGAAAAATCAAGAAAGTACCGTAGCGACATTTAGTTTGATTTCGGGAAAATATATTTTTTTTCAATGCTTCTTCATTGTGAAGCTACTTTAAAAATTAATGCATTAAAATCAAAACTTTTTACAGTTTGACTGATAAATAAAGAAACATTTAGAATGTAATGAAGAAGTATTTAAAAAAAATAAAGAAACTACAATAATTTATATCACTAGATGGCAGCACAAATTGTTGGATCTAAACGTCAATTCATGACGTTAAACCAAAGAGAATAGAATTGTCAGTGTTGTTATGGATCTGATAACTCGGATTAATATTGAGTTGTAATTTAATTAGTTCCAGTTATGCAAACGCAACTCGATTAATCAAAGTAATCTTTGAATAAATTTCTTTTTTATTTGTATAGAGGAAAATGGAAACTAACATAATGGAAGTGAGCACAGAGGTTTTTTTAAATTTATAGAAATCAATTGAATTAATGCTCTGATATAATTAAAAGTGGCATTTAGCTACGGTATACAATGATATTATCGTAAAATGGTTTTTATAAACAAAATACTAATGACTTGACATATCAGATCTAGATCTGCTATGGCATAAATATTTTGTTTTTCAATTTTTCATTATAATATTTAACAAAAGTTCTGAAAACAAAAATAACTAGGTAAGTTAGTTTTATTGCCATTTGTTGTTTGTTGAACTTACAACAACAAAACTACATCAAGTCTCAATAATATTATGTATGGTGAATGAATAAATAGGGTTTATTATTCAGCAACAAAAGTCATAAAAACTATAATTATAATAAAATTCCATATATTATCTATATTCTTATCCGATATGTATCAAATATACTAGGTATTCGTACTAAATAACATGACTTCTGGCTAAAATGACATTATTGCAAAGTGTAACGTGCAAATAACTTGTGCTTTCGAAATTATGACTTAATTTTTTTTTATCAATTATTAAATCTTATATTCATAATTAAATCATCTTAATAAACATTCAGCTATCAACAAGAAACGTCTGTTCTAATCGAACAGCAAGGTTATCATATCGAAAGTGTAGAAGCAATTTGCGAACGAATTGACACATGCTGTGTTATACTACCTATATGGCTGCAACGTATCGATTAGTATCGTAAACATATAGTTTATCGATATATCGTCAATTTTTGCTCTGTGCACTGCTGCGTGCACTGCTGTCTCGATTGTTTATGTGTTGTTGATTTTGTAGTTATTGATTTTGACATAAAATTAAAAGGTTCAGTCGTTACTTTCGAAATGTGTGATAAAAATGATGGCCCAAATTATGAGTCCACTCCTCCGACTAACAAGAAAGTTCGTAATCCTTTTGATAAAGCGTTAATAGAAAGATTACACAAACCGATATGCAGGTAATGTTAATTTATACCTATCTGTTGAGAAACTTGTGTGGTGTTTTTCGTTAATGAATGCAGGATTTCTGTTTTTGTAGCCCCGGCATGTGTAAAATCTATAAAAAGAAGCACAGTGGCTCCTTCCGTTGGGACATTGATCAAGCTTGCACTTTAATACCAGCGGATATTGTCGCTTGCAGTAGTCAGTTTGAGCCATCACCAGACCCGGCTCTAGAGAAAGTCGCAGAAGAGGCAACTGAAAGGTATTTGTTCTATTCCTCTATGTACGTTAATTATTATTAGGTTGTTGTAATTGTTGGTCCATACAACCTGGAATTGATTAGGTAATGTGTTTCATGCTGTTCTAAGTAGTTTTAAAAATAGTATGTTATTCTTCCATTGAATCGAAATCTTTTGCTACATGTACCACAGGCCATGAATGTTAAGCAAATTCTAATCTTGAGGTACTTCTTGCTTCAGAAGGTATTTTAAGCCGTTGGTCCTGCCTGCATTTTTAGTCGTTAATACCCTCCAATCTGCAAAGGGTCAGTGTGCAGGGTCATGGCCCATCCTCCTTAACCATCCATAAAGAAGGCTTGAGCCCCTACAGTAGTAAGGGCTGTGTACAAAGGGCTGTTGGTGATGATGACTTGTAACATACACAATAGAAAAGAAACTGCCCCCACACTGCATGCAGATATCATTGACCTTTATTAATATGTTGTAAGATCTAGCAAGCAATACAATTTGTTACAAATGATTATATCAATTGTTTTTACAGATTCTTCTCTGAAGAAATGGTGATTGCTAGTCCAATTCAGTCTTCCAAGAAACTAAAACCATTGCTTGACAATTTAAGTGATGCTAGTGTTAAGATGTCTAGTTTTAGTAAAAGTGTTATTTGTAAAGATGGTAAGTATTAATTTAAATATAATTAATGGGAAAAATAGACCAATTTATAAAAATATTATTGAAAGGGTATACTCATACTTTCATAATGAAACTGCCCCTGACAGGAAGCTAAATTGTGATCTATGTCATATTGTAGAGGTAAGTAATAGTAGTTGATTGATTTGGATATTAGCTCAGTAACTTGGCTAAATAAAGAGCTATTTGATAAAAGTCTTCAATCACAACTTTTGTTAAACAAGTTTTTTTCAAGATATTAAAATTAAATCAGTATATGTTGTAATAATATGATTTACTTATTATTTTATAGTAGTTTTCTATGAGCTATGTTGTAGTAAAAAGTCTAGCAAAATGTAAATAAAAAAATTGTCAATTGATTTCTATCGGATAGAAAAAAGTTACCACATTGAAAAAAATATTTAATAATTGTCTACATATTGTCTAACAACATGTCCAATTTCATTAATAAATAAATGACCACCAGAAAACATGGGCAAAATTAAAATTGATTTACATTATTTTATTTAAAAAATTGTTGATTCCCCCTATTCCCAAAAAAACTACCATTACTACCCTCTACAATATGATATAGGTCACAATTTAGGTTCCTGTTGGGGCTGTTTCTCTTGTTTAAATAAGGAACAACTCAAAATAAATTATGTTATTTATTAGAAAGAAGCATCTCATACATAATTATATCTAGGAACTAAATAAAATTATTTCCTTTAATTACCTACCTATTTTAACAAAATTGATATGTCGATAAATTAAGAACTACATTGTGTTTTCAAATTGTTCATAAAAAAATTTCATATGCAATAAAATGGTTTTTGCAGTATTCATAAGTGAGTAAGAAAACAGCTATCTTAGAACCGCTTCTTTCTGCTGTTCTTATGAAGAGTGCAATAACTAGGTTTGGCTTTGTTTTGAACTAATCGGAAATCAAGATTTAATTATTGTTTTGTCTGTATTTTTGACAATCAAATGAATATATCAGATCAAATGCATTTAAACAACTGTCAATATATAAATAAAACAGCTAAGAAGCAAAATAAAGTCTCATTGTTCTGATCACAAATATGTACTTAAGTCAGTACACCTAAAATTTTGTGTTATTGTACTTATCATAAGGATGGCAGCATTGCTATCATGAATTTTAAAACTTTTTTCGATATTCTTTCAACAATGAGTGTACAAACAAACAAATAATATTCTATTTGCCTCTTGGATAAATTATCTTAATTTTAAAGTTTCATATTTTTTCATGAACACTGACCATAAATAACTTTAAATGGTTTGATAACATGTATTTTTAATTTTTATATTAATTTCAAATCTTTCCAAGTTCCATTTTCACTTAAGCAGCACAAAACATTTAAAAAAGGAAATATTTTTCTAAAGTACCCAGGGATTAAAGTGATAATTATCATTCATAATAATTATCTTGATAAATATACCTTAATCATTATTAAACACTACACACTCTTTTTGTATTTTAAAACTTGTAATTAAAGGGGAACCATCTTTAAACAACTCTTAAATATGGTGTTTTTCTGATAGAGAAAATTGTCTAGGATGGCCCCCTTTTTATTAAAAAAGTATTTTTTGTTTAATTTGTTAGTTTTTATACAATCATGTCTGTTGTCAGTAACTACGGATAATTATATTATTAATTATGATAATTATCAAAAAATATCTTGATAATTATGAATCCTGTACTAAAAGTTCTTGCGTAAGATCTTTTAAAAGGTTTTATGTAATTTCAAAAATAAAATGTTTTTGTCTAGTTTCAGCACAAACTGTCCTTTCTTTACCTCCTGAACTACCACCAGAAATAGAAAAAATTCTTCAACCCTTCTGCACATATACCGAGGTGAGTTATAACTTATTCTGCAAATATATATATTTTTTTCTTTTAATGTAATTTACTACCTTTTTTATGTTATAGTGCTTGTTGACGCAGAAGTTAAGGAACTTTCGCAAATACTAAGTATTGGGTAAATACTAAGTATTTGCGAAAGTGACAAAAGAAATATTATCATGATTTGAGTAGTTAATTCTAACTCAAGAGCCATGTTGATAGTGCTTGTACTATAACACGGTTTTGATTCCCGCGCTGCAAGCAAATCATGCATCAGGCAGAATATAGGTGCTTGTACAAAAGTGAAAATAAGTTACATCCAATCACAGATAAAATATAGATAAAAATGTATTTTTTGACGAAACACAACCAAGAGAATAAGAAACAGTTTTACAATTGATTTAGAATGCAAAAACTATTCATAAATACATTATATGTATTAATAAAATATAAAATCAGTGTACATAGATCGTCTCTATCATAACTGACGCCGTGTAAATATCCGGTGTTGTTTAAACCTCCATAGACTGCCAATACTGCCATACAACACTAGGTAAATATATTCACTGCCGGATGGGTTCACGGAGGAGAGTCCCACATAAACGGTAACAGGAACAGTGCCTTACGGATTTCTCCCTAAAAAAAGGCGAATGTGTTAGAAACGAGTCTGAGAGGACACAGCTTCTTAAGTATGTGCGATTTAATTGTGCACTGGGACTCTGTGACAGCATTTTGGTTGCACCAACATCGGTTGTTGCCATAATGTTCTACAGAATGGTTCAGGCATAAGACGTAAAATAAGTTTATTATAGCCGAGTTGTAATCACGGGGGTAGCATTTCCGGAAATAAGAACCCTCTTTAAAATTAAAGGTTAAGAAATGGCACATGGCAATGGCACAGAGCGATGTAAGCGCTACGCCGTGCTTGTCTACAAACTTCCATTACACATAATAGGGGCAGAAGATATTAAATAGATATATAAAAAACTATTTTGAATTATTAACTTGCAAACCATGAATATTATTGTAAAAGCGTTGCATATAGCCTGTTGCATATAAAAAAATCCTATAAATTGACGTTTTAATTGTAACAAAACCCTCGTAGAAATACGTATATAATGTTATTTTCTCCTTTGTATCTATAGTCGAGAGAAGTAATCACTTGAGTATATATTTTTGCCAAATAAACAAGAATTTGAATTAAGTAAGAACTGTTAATAGTTAAAATTTTTCTTAAGTTAGGACATTTTCTCAAGTAATTACTTCTCTCGGCTATAAATACGAGTGTTGATGTCAGCTTATTTGGAAGTTATTTCTTGGTACATGTGTCGTGGGCCAATCGTTGAATTGGACCTTTTGAATTGGAATTCTAATGTTTATGCTTATCGTTTGACGATTTGCCCGACTACTCAGACCAGTTGATTTTGTAGAGTGACCAAAGTACTATGTAAGCAGAGATGGTCAACAACCCAGGATTTCTGTTACCGCCCATCTCTTTATGTAAGCAAATACAATGAAGTTTAAATAATAATTATTTTAGTGATAAATAAAAAGGCTGTTATAATTGTTTTTTACTATGTAAACTAAAAAAGTGATTAACATTTCAAAATCTCAAATTTAAATACGATCAAAGTGTCATATGAAGTACATAGAATCGCATATTTCCCAAATAAATTATTTTCATAGCTCAGTGTCAGTTACCCTTATGTGCTATCAGTCTAGTTTTATTTGAAGGGAAGAAAATTTTTAATATCACAGTTTTCGTTTGCTTCCGACGTCGCCATCGTTCTCACACAAAAATATACAGAGCATAGCACTGCAGCGCCACCAGTGACGTGAAACGAAACTATACTACGATGCACTCAGCCATACCAAGATGTGCCTAAGTGATTAGTTGGGAAAATCGACCAATATGTTGCACTTGTCGATTTGCCAAACTTTTAACATGGCCCATCCTAACTTTCTTGGCCAAATCAAGAATTGACGGCATATCGTGATATGGCCAGGCAGATCCCAATCGGCCCAATTCAACGATTGGCCAACAACACATACAAAACTACTTTGCTCCTCTTGGTTCATTGTTTTAATTATATGGAAGTCCTGTCCCACTAGGGGGACCATTAGGTAATTGATAGGTGTGATGTTGACGATTTGTTAATATTCCTGTTACATCTTTTTTTAGGATCAAAATATATCAGGTGATTATGAAATAACTGCAAATGGGTCTCTTAGGCGAAAATTATTCTTCGAAGAGCACAGTGACATGGACCATTACGATTCAGAACAAACTGATGATGAATTACACATAGATTCAGAAACACGACCTACTTATGACTCGGAGCAGACAGACGATGAACTTCACACAGATCATGAAAACCGTCCGCCATCTAGTTACGAAGCCCACACGCCGGTCGTCTTTAGTCCAGATCTGGTGAGTAACTAAATTGACCTTTATCGTTGTTATAGTGTCGGCGAAAAACCTAAATTTAATGGGGGCCCTGCACATTTTATGATGCCCTTAAGTTTCATAAAAAAGATATTTACGTAAGGGTTTGCTTTTTTTTTATTAAAAGGAATTTTATGCTTAAAAAATTGAGCAATACCTTACTTTTTAGGCAATCATAAATGCATGTTATTTCTAATTTTGACTCCGTTTCAAATAAAATAATACCTAAGCATATTGCTTATTATCCTAACTTATTTTGGTTTTAGGGCACGAGGCCCTTTGTATTGAGCGACCTCACCTTGCCAAAATTAGTCTAGTGTTGTTTAAAATCATACTTAAAACAGCCCCTAGCTCTATATATGCCTCGAAATACTGTAAATAGTTGCTAGGTAAATTGTTTCTAAATTTATACTTTTTATATTGGGACCTTATGCTTACCTTAATTAATTCTTACAAGCACAAAGAAGGTATCCAGTGTGTTGATCTCAGATTTATAAGAGAGATGCTAATGATGATAATTTCAAATTGGTGCTCTAGAATTCATGCTAAAAAAGACTGGTTAATTTAATTCTATTTCAACATGATCCAATAAAAATACAGATTATTATTCCTCTACTTTGATTCTGCTTAATTCTTAAATATCAATACCATAAATATGACATTTAGTAATATATAGGCTGGTTTAGTGTAACCTACTCGCGTAGCTATCAGCGCAAGCTGTCTGTGCATAAACGTTTCAGTGTTTTGCTGATCGCTGCGAAGTACAGACATGGATAACACTGTGAGTGTTAAAATTGCCGCAGTGTATTATTTATGAAAAAAGAAAGATGCGACAGCGAAAAAGAAGAATACAGCATGTTCTTCTACTTTTGCTCAAAGATTGCTAGGGGTCCAATTGTAACATTGTTCAACCAGTTGACACTGTTTTAAACAATGTTGAAATGGATGACGATAACCAGTTCTTTAACTACTTTCTCATTTTAATAAGGAATTTTAACCTGCTAATTAATTTTGACATGACTATACATACTGGCGGTGTCCGCTCAGCTCTACACTGGAACGCTCACTGTAGGCAGAGGCGCGCGTGCGCAGCGCGTACAGCCGCGGACGCTCGTTAGCGCTGAGCGGTCGGCGTAACGATAGAACACTTCTATAGACCCCATACATATTGACCTGACAGCGCGAACGGTTAGCGTGATACTAATACCAGCCTTACAATAATTGATTTTTTATTTTTTCATTGCAGAGTCGGGATTTAGTAGCCAAAGGCATGAAACGCACTTTCGGTACACCATTAAGGAAGGGACCAGCCAATGGAAAATCATGTTGCACAAGAATGCTCGATGTTGTGGAGTTTGGAGAACCATGTTTTAGCCCAATTTAACGTTGAGGAACTGTAAGCAGTGTATTCCATTTTTGATTAAACTGTTTGACTGATATTATCATCTGATATATAGATCTCTACTGTAGCTACTATGTACACAGCGAGGTAGTGTAAGATGTTTGTCTACTGAGTGTTTTTAGACTATTACAGAGGTACAAGTTGTGATTTCAGTGCATCTCGTAAAAAATATTTTTATAACATGTTGTAAATACAATCTGTTAAAGTAGGCCATCTCTTGATGGTTATAAATTATTTCCATATATTAGTAAATAAATTACTTTGGAATGTTTGACTGACAGTGGAAATTTTAAATTAAATAATATAACAGTACTGTTAAAATATTATGTAATCGATTTATAGTAAATGATTTAATATAATATTATGTTATGCTACGTCATACTAGGTTATGACTGAATATAGTGTTTGTAATAAAATGTTTGTGATTTTTAAAATAGATTTACTTGAGTCAAGTAGATTATCAATATCAAGACTGAAATGATACTTATAATTATGGGACTGTGTTGCTACAATATCGATAACAACGGATCTCTTGCTCTGCATTTATAAAGATTATATTGGTTTATTGAAAAGTACACATTCTTGTTCACTATTTGTTTTCCGCCATAAAAGTAACTGTAGTTACGGGTAATAACTTATTCGAGTCTTAATGCTCTCGTGATTATTTTTTTTCTACGCAATGTACCTACTTAAAAATTCCACATAAATATCAGCATAAATACTCTATAGTACGGTCGCCGATAGAAAGATTTTCGTATGTTGGTCTTTGTGCCATGATCTTGATACATATCGTAAGCATTTTAGGTTCAATTTACTATGACAAAATTGGCTAGATGCATCTGCCAATCAATGTTTGCGCACGAGTGAAAGAGTAAGTAATGCCGGGTCATTGTATAAAATTCTCTGTTTAGCGACTGTGCTATAGTGGGATTATTGTATTGGAAGTTCAGGATATATTGGATGTGGATATGATTAAAGTAAAGTTTAGCATTTTTATAAGCAGCATCGGCAAAAATCTGCGAGTAAGAGCAAGCTAAATCCGATAGAATACGAATAGCAACACTCGAAGTAGTAGTCTATTACGTTACGTTAAAGTTAACTTTGATTATCGAGATGATGTTATGATGATCAACCAATAGCAGCGGATCGCGCACACTTTCTGGGCGGATACGATCGTCTAAAAAAATCTCGTGTTTCTAAAATGAAGTTTATAGTTATGGTTCTAATTCCTTTTTGAGGTTTCATCACTTATGACGTTGTTGCACAGCATAGTAGTAGTCTCATCCGTTGTAGTTTTTCAAGGTACTTATGGTACTTATCAATGAAATTGTGTTTTTAGTTTCAGTCATATAGAAGAACAAATTAACCATGACGCACTCTAATATTTTTTTTGTTCTACCTTGTCCTAATGCTTGCAAGATAGTCTTCTTTATATCAATACTCTCTTAATCAGCGGCTTCGCCAGCGTGGTACCTAGGGATGCGTCAAAGGGGATAAAAATTCTTTTATTAATTTATAGTACAGTAAAGTATATGTCAATTCAGGATAAAGTATAGTATAGTTACCTATATGTTAATACAGGATAGATTTATCCATATTCATCAAAATCATACATATATCATCACGAACTTTCGCATTTATATTATTAGTAAAATTTATCATACGCTCCGTGGTAATGACGCTATCTTAAGTTGCCGAAATACTTACGATTACTATCATATTGTCATACATGGTCGGCTAGGATCAAAATAACGTAATCGACATGTTAATTATGTTTAATGAAAAAACCGGCCTAGTAACAGGCGGACTCGCGCACCGAGAGTTCCGTACAAATCTGTAAGTATATTGTGATGTAACTAAAAATTTAAGGTTTTCGGAAATTTTCCTTCCAAATTTCAAGATTCTAGGTCGACTAGAAGTACTCTTTAGGTTTTGTTTCCCTTGCGAGTAGTTGCGAGTTTAAAAATATGCGGCTTAAATTGCTGTTTCTTTTGATTGTGTTGATGTAGAAGTTTGGTTTTGTTACAGCTTAAAGGTATTGTAAGTTCCGTTCACGAGGAAAGAGGTAATATCTAAAATTATTTAAAAAAAAAAATTATATGATGTAACTAAAAATTGTCGTTTTTCACAATTTTTCTTTTATCTTCGTAACAAATTTCAAGATCCTGAATTCACTGGGAGTACTCTGTAAGTTTTGATTCCTTCGCGAGTTTCGAAAATTTGCGGCATAAATGGCTGTATCTTTTGTTTGCTTTGGCAAAGAAGTTAGATTTTTTCACAGCTCCATGGAACAGTAGACCTGAGTATTTGATATACATTTCAGCTTGATAGCTTCTTGCGTTCCTGAGAACGGTCTTGACAGATGTAAATAATTTCAGAAAAACAATACCTTTTTTTAAATTTTTACAGTACTAAGAGAAGAGCTATATATTATATATAAGCTTAATTATTAATAAAAATTAACCGAATGTGGTTTTATAATGTGCCATAAACTTTATAATGAGCGTAGTTTTTTAATAAGCTGTAAATATTAGACATTGGTTACTACGTTTTAATAATTATGATTAAATTTTTCACAAAGTTTGTTGCTTGAATTAAGGTATAATATCCTCTGTTTATTTGATCTTTATTGAAATCTTTAGAACAATTTGAAATATCGAGACTTTCAAATTATTAATAATAACTATATATATATATAAATACTTTGGATATGGTCACCCATTGTACCGCCAGCGGCGATGACAGATACATCTAAGGTACTCTAGTTTCTCGTAAGACAAAATTTTGTAAATGTCATAATTAAATGCCCACTGCATTTCTAATGTAACCTCACACATAAATTTACGAAATAAACGTTTGAAATAGGGATGATAACTAAATAATTTATCTGTCTGTCAGGTAGATTATTGAAGAATATTAACCATGTGTTTTTTATTTCATTTTTTACGTAATCAATTGACGGCGATACATTAATTGAGTTGAAATATCGCATGTCATTACACTTTGTGCATTTTCTGCATAATTGTGAAGTAAATGTCTATTATCTAAGTAATTTCTTGCTAATTAGAATCATAAAAATACTTATTTTATATTTTTCTATAATCTGACTGACGAACTGACTAAATGAATTCTCTTTTTTACCCAGGCATAATCCCTATTCTTAATGGGATAGCGTCAGAATAAATGCTGATTCGAATTCGTTTTTCTTGATTTTTTTATATAAGGCTCAATCGCTATGTAACCAAATTATTCGATAAGTTTAAAATTCCATTATAGTGATGTTCATGTTAATAAACGTTATTTTTATACATTAATGATGGGTTTATGATAATATTAATGTTGAAGGTAAAAATTATTGCCAAGTATTGTCACTATGTTAGGATTTTTAAACTCATTTTATACAACAATATTGTTAATTTTTAGTTAATTATAATTGATGTACTGTATTTTTCTATAAAAGATTTATTTTAGGCTAAAGTATAGAAAATATATTTGAAACGCCGATAAATTAAATTTAATAAAACTAATTAAAAGTTACAGGTAACGATAGAAAATTTATATATTGGGTGAATGTATCTATGGATGTTTTTTTTCTTATGTCTTAAAAAACTGACTCACATCGTTATGTGTAAAGGATGGTGCGTTAACAGTTTGCGATATAGCAACAACGTTGCCTACAGAACTTCGATTACACGATGTGTTTTTACAAAGTCGATATATTTTTTAAGATAAGGATAATTTAATAGTCCCTTTGTATTTTTGTATATTATTTATAGGTTTGATACCTACAAATAAAGCATTTTATATTACTTTGTGGTAATTTTATTGTGCAGATGGCAAATATTCTAGTAAGCAATTACGATGCGTTAATTGATACACGCTCAATGGTTATATTTCGTTAATTAGGACTTATCAGTACTAGATACAAAGTCCATAACTTGTTTACCGCTATGCTATTTGAGATTTATTATTGGAGATCCTTTTGCATTTATTTAATAACTGGAATGTTATCTTTAAAATATCAATGCTATTTCTAGACTATTATAGTTACCTACTGCTTAGTATGACAACCAATCTCAATTGGTCTAGTAAATAGGATTAAAACCTATTGATTTCCCGATACAAATGTTTCAATTAAGGTTTATAGTATTGTTTAGTGTTTTACTTTTCGTTTCCTTAGAAAATTTTAGGGTAAAATACTTGATAGCCGGCCTTTAAGCGAGAATTAAGTTTAGTAAATCCGAGCAGTAGTAGTACGCAGTAGTACGTTTGTAATTTGTCTTTCTTTTTTTGTCTTTCTTATTCTTTCCTTTTTACCTTTAAAGGGACAAAGATTCGATTAGACGTCATTCTAATGGTGTAAAATAATTTCAATGTTATATGATTTTAAAGCGTATAATCTATAAAGACCAACTACTGGTGCGGAACCAACTTTAAAATTTTAGCAAAACAATAAAATTCTGAATATGATACTTAATTATGTGAAATTGCGTCTAAAAATGTTTTTACATTAAATATAATAAAATGGTGTAATAAAGTTTACATCAAATATAAAAAAAAAGTTATGGGTGCACATTTTTTCCCCATGTTTTAATATACACAAAAAATATATTTACGAAGTTATTTTTGAAAATTAACATTTATTCATTTTACATTTATTTTATTATTTATTAACAGTTTTATATTATTTTTGTCACACACCCTCAGTACTAGTAATAAAATAATGAATTAACTGTGGGTATGTTGACAAAAAGCTGTCATCGACCTCCATGTATCGGTGGTATAACTATCTTATCATAACAAAAGACATAAGAAAACGTGAAAATGATTAACCTTCACGAACACAATATAGAATTTTGTGCACTGACTATAATTTTTCCATAATTATATTTCTTTCTACATTTTTCGTGATATTTATGTCAATGTTATTGTCAAATTTAAAATATATTAAAATTTTTAGTGCTTATAGTAGTATAAAAGAGTTTTTTAAATATATATTCAATTCTCAATTGATTTTATCAGTTTTATAAAAGACTTAATTAGCTGTAAAGTGTCCAAGTAATAAAAAAATAAATAAAGATATTTTTTAACATATACTATAATTAGTTGCACGCAACTGTATTAATAGAAACGTCCAATTTGATTCACTAACTTATATTAAATCTATTTCGTCCTTCAGTTACGCCAGATATTCGTATGTATCTAATATCAAACAGGCACACGCGCGCGTTAACGCCCACACACAATTTTAATCGGCCAGACTGCTTCGTGCGTCAATAGTTTTTAACAAATAGCCATTTATGATAACGTAGTAACCCCTGTTATCTATTCTCCCGGAACGTCTGAGGACCTGTTAGGTAATGACAAATTCGTATCCGTTGCATTCATAATACTATTTAATGAACAGGCGACGTTCAAATAACTCACTTCACAGCACACTGTCGACTGGAAGTTATTGTTTACCAGTGATACAGGACGCTGATCATATTTCAGCGTTGGCGAATTAACGTATTTGAGCAGTTTGTTTTTTGCTTATGCATGTGACTGTGGTTTTGAGATGGTTAACGGAACGAGTGCCACTTTGATGCTTCAGACCATTATGGTTTTGATGGAAAATCAGAATGGAACGACAAATTACCCCGGAACTGGTGGTGAGTTTACAGTAAAATAATATTTAATGTAAAGATTTTAGAACGATTAGTATGGCATGAAAGTAAACCGAATATGAAACTTGTGTAGATAAATTAATGTTTATCGCCCGGCTTTCATAGAAGTTTTTTGAATATTACACGTCTTGTAGTTATGTATTAATATGAAGTTTAGTAAAATTTTGAAGTGATAGTTTTTGTATTTTTAGATACTGTTTGTAGTGCTTATTTTCATGCCGAGCATCGTTCCTTTGTTTTACAATGGTGAATAAAAATGTTGAAATATTGTTTTGGCGTTAAAATTTAAAGATATAAATTTAGATATTTAAGTATTAGTTTTATTTAAGCGATCTTCAATCATTTATAATAAGGTTCGTATTTAATCATCATAATATAGATTTTAATATATTGATTCTTATTTGATTTGATTCAGATGTTGAAAGATGCTATGATAATTATGGATGTTTCTCAAAGGGGTATCCCTGGACGGAAAATCGGCCTGACAATCACTTTCCTATGCCTCCTGAATCTATGGCAATAAGGTAAGTGTAGACACAGTAGATGAATACTTATCGTATATATATATAATTATTATCACTTGATTTCGTTTCTTATTATGATGGTGATGCTTTTTTTAAGTAGATTAACATTTTGTTAAATTTTTAACGCATTTTGCCTGTCACAATGTGCTAACCTAAAATTGTATGGTCTGCAATAGAGATCAAAATATAAAATATCTTCTGTATATTTTTTTGGTAATGACCTATTATCCGAACGATTGTACATAATACCCACCTAATATTTAAACACATTATCACGCAGAAACAAGTCATTACCCACGATTATCTCGGATGAGTATGTAACCTGAGTCGTATCGTTTTTACCTTTCAGCAATAAATGGTTATGACATGCATGACTGGATTCTGATATGATACTTGTTACTGAGCGCGGTCGTTGATTTTTATTTATTATTTTTTCAATAACAATATTGTTATTGTCACTTTATCATACCTATAGTAAATAAATGTTGTATAGCTGTCCTTAGATTCTGTTAAAAAACATTGCCATTGAAGTTTTGGAATTCTCACAAATCTAAATGCTGACCACATTGCATTTATTGGTATGTACTCACAAAAGAATCCCAAATTATGTCTAGACGAGAAAAAAACAAGTAAAATACAGTAGGGTTTTTATAATAAAATATGGAAATCATTAAACAATTACATGAGAATGTTAGATATCATTTTAATTTTATATTATTTTAATAGGGTAGATAAGCCTGTTTCCGTCCTATTAGTGGAGTTGCCAACTGTGATCACAACATTTGAATGTTCCACGTAACCCCAAATATAGTCTATTTCATTATTAATAATATAATTGTATACTTTCGATTGTCAGATTAAAAGTATTTTTGTATTTAAATTTTAACATGAAATTGCCGATTTGATCGGTTTTTGTCCAAAAAACTTTGTTTTCGTCCACCTGTTGGTCAGTTTTTACCCGCTCTAAAGCTCGTGAGGTGATGATTTTAAAATGAAATACGAAATTAATCTTCCATAAATTCTGTTAAAGAATGTTAATGCAAAATTTGAAGTAGACAAACTTTGCTCCCGTTTTTCACCCCCCCTTAGGGATAGAATTTTGGGAAATCCTTTCTTACCAGATCATTACGTTATACAAAGAACACATCCTACAAGATTCAGGTCTCTATGACCAGCGGTTTAGGCTGTGTTGATCCGTCAGTCAAGTCATTCAGACAAATCATTTTATATGTATGAATAACCGGTTTGCTTAGCAAGAACATATAAACCGTTAATAGTAAAAAATTAGTATAATATCAACAAATTGATTCTTTATTTATTTTGGACTCTTAAAAAAGTACACAAAGAAAAATCACATAAATCTATCACTTTTGTAACTTGTGTATTTCATCACTGGTCTTTATTTTTACACGATGATCATATTACTATTGTCTGCCTATTCAATGAAAACATACCAAACAATTTCCGTGGTCATTCATCTTGTTATGATTTCAAAATTCCAATGAACTCTTTTTATAATTATTTATAAATAATTTTTTTTATAATTTTTAATTAAATGAGAAAATATCGTTCAGTAACTAGGATCTCTGAAAGCTCTACATCCAATTTTCGACAAGTATAAACGTAAATCATAATCTGTTTATATTTAAAAAAAAATGTTGGACGATAACTGACCATTTATTAATAATTGTCACTAGAACTCACATAATGAAATTTGATTTTAAATAAGTTTAGCATTTTAGGACAACAAAGAAGAAGACGTGCTTTCCCACTTTTTGACTTCATTCAGTATTCGACCCATCTGCTCGATTTAATAAATGGTAGTCCCTTTATTCGACTACCTGATTTAAATAATCATTTTTGATAAAATTTACGTTAATTTCTAATTCCTCCACATAATAGAGATCATAAACTAGCTGCAAAAACATTACCAAAATACTAAGAATAATTAGAAACTCACTTTCAAAAGTATTGACTCCTTACTATTTTTTTTTTGCTAACATACGACCCTTAGAGTTATTAATTTTGGCTTAAAGCTTCGTTTAATCGTATTGGTGTGTATATATGAGGGTAATCAGTATATCCAGGTTGCCATATGTTTATAATTTTGACACTTAGTACACCAACATACTATTTTTGATCTTTTTACAAGATATGACCGTCAATAGCTCGAAAATGGGAGGTGGATGGGAAACAGGCACATCGATCCCACTTAAACTATCAAATATTACAATAGATTGTAATTTCGTTAATCTTCTTACATTAAATAATATGTTACTACTACTCTGTTTACCGTTCTTCACTCATTTTAAATTAAACGTTAATTCACAATACTCAACAATTTAAATGAAAATAACCTTTGGTAATAATTTACTTCAATGCACAATGCAGTTACAATAATTGAGCGTGGAAGGTCTTTGTGGCTTCTTTTTAAAAGTAAACCAGACCAGAGATAATATTTAACTGTTTGGCATATATCATATGAGCTGGTTAACGTTCCTTTTTTTAAAAAGTACCTTATTTTTTTTTAACTTCGGTCTCCTCCTACATGGAAAGTGACAAAATACACGCTCTACCTTTTTATTTTGTCGTATTATTCCTAGATTGTATCGATAAGAATATCGACAAATTATAGTCGCCCATGCTTAAAGAAGTCGTGGCTTTAGTTTTCGAAGAATTTTAAAAGTAAACAGTTTTAAAGTTGCTGTAAACGCGGTCACTCTATTATGGATATTTTAAAGCTCCAAAAGTACTGTTTGTTATTCTGATGACAATTCAACCAGTAGGAGCCTTATACTAGTCGTATTTTATTTTTACCCGACTTCAAAATTTATTTTTTATATTTTAGGTTATATGTTCGACGGCGATGTATATTTTTTAACGTATGTTCATCGATACTTTTGTCAATTGTTGACCAATTTTCAAAATTATTCTTTTGTCGACAGCTTGATGAAACGAGGTGGTCCTATTTACATTTTATCGAAATCAAATAAGTAGTTTTCCTTTTATAATACAACAAAATACACTTTTCAACATACATCACCTAAATATTAAGATATGTGTTATTATCTTGTTACCCATTTCAGATAATAAACAAATTATTGCGATTTATTAATTCATTAAAAATCTGAAAGGAAAATTTTCTGTTCAACGAGTATGTAGGTATACTTTTCTCTTTGATGTATATTTTTTAACAAAAGTTTTTTTATCAAGTGTTTTTAAGAAAGTCATAGATAGATAGTATATTCATCGATTTCTTCTTCTATCAAACTAACTGTTTCCCCGCGACTTCGTCTGCGTAAATTATAGCCTTTGTCCGCCGCGTATTATGTATCTTCCCCTAGATGAAAGACTTATAAATATCAAATCATTCTTCTTTAAAATATGAATATAGATTATTGAATAAAATTATGTCAAGCAAATAAACAAAATCTCCTATTCTAAGACTTTGATTTTTATTTACGTAGATATTTAATATTTTAATTATATCTATAAAAATATCATTATCACTAAAATGCATGAAATAAAAACTTTTTAGTTACCCTATTTAGTCGGCTGATTACACCGCATGGCTGCGACAAGTAATTGTCAAAAAAGCAAAAATATGTTATATTTTACTGTCAATTTTCCTTTAATTAGACTCTTGTGAACAAATTTCTCTCTTCTGGATAATGAATATCGTTGTTTGTTCATATAATATTTATGTCTTTTTTCGTGAACAGGTAGCAAAAATTAGCAATACAGCATCTTATTTATAGACTAGCTGTTTTACCGCGACTTCGCACGCATGAATTATAATCTATGTCAACCGCCTATGATGTAATTTCCCGTGGGTGCAAGACTTTTTAAAAACAGTCTAGTAATTTCGGAGCTTTTTTGATGAAATCTTTTCTTCTTTAGTATAGATAATAACTGAAATTGGGTACGATATATGTGCTCAAAAATTAGATAAAAATATTATACCGTTTTATTAGTAAGTATGTATTTTATTCGAAAGAAATAAAAAAAAAATAAAGATCCGCTTCGTATTAACATATAAACATACTTAGGTATTAAATGATAAGGCGTTGCTAGATAAAGCTGGAAGCTTCGGGGGCTCGTCCGTGACATCAATCCATCAGAAACGAGACAAAACATGTTTACGTAGTGTAATGCAATATGACGTTTCAACGCTAGCGCAGTGGGCATTATGACATTATCAAGTGGGCAAAAGTTATTTGAGGCCGTTGACCTATGAAAGTTTAGAAACAAATGTAATATGAAAATTTAATGATACAGAAAAATAAACACAAGTGACTGCATCACTTTCGTATTGACCGTACAGTCAGCTCTGATTATTATTATTAGTTAGTTTTAAGAGTATGCAGTTCCATAAGGAACTGTAGTCGATCCGAAAGATCTTTTGTGACTCGCTGCCAGTCATAGTAGCTTTTTAACTAAACTTTTCGTGAATAGCCTTCAGTAAAAGCTACTTGTGCTAGTATTTTTTTTTATGAATCGTATTGATCGATTGATTTTTAAAATTTGCATCTCATTGTTCTGGTGCCATTTGTAGTCTCTGTGCTCCAGTTCTTGCCAATTTGTTACCTGCGTTGCCAGAGTGATCTGGTACACATTCGAGAATAATTTTATCTTTTGCCCCAGTTAATTAAGTTTGTTAATGCAGTCCTTCACCAGTTTTGACCTTATAAGTATAGTAAATAGTAGCAGTTTCGTGGCATTATAGCTAAGAGATAAGGTTTTTACAGCCAGATGCACAAACGTCCATTAAAATGTTCATTAGTTTAATTTAAAGCGACATACAAATTAGACATTCATTAGAGCTTAAAAGCGTCATTACACCTTAATTGATGTTTGTCCCACCGACCGAAAATTAAGTAAATTTATTGATACACGTTATAATTATCGCGCTTATTTTCATAGGTCTAGTTAGATATCAAAATTAAATTCCAATGCCTAATCCATTGCCATAGACTATAAGAAAATGGTGTATTAATATTTAAACTCTTTACAGATATCCAACTTTCACTAGACGGAACAGAAAAGTGCCAGTGTTTTTAAAAGCCGATAACATTGAGAAGATTAAGAACGCCAATATTGACCCTAAAGGTCCATTTTATTTTATATCTCACGGCTTCTTGGAAGGGGGACACAAGGCTTGGGTAATTTTCAAATACATAATATTTATATTTTTAGAGAAAAGCTGCCACATCCGTAACGTTATCAGTTTTGTTTATTTACATCGCAAAATGTGTTTTGTTTTTCCATGTGATAATAAGTTACTTTGTTTATATTATTAAAAACTTAATAAGCAATCGTTATAAGCTCTGACCTCTTATTGTTAACTATTATAGAATGATCAGTAATATTATTGATTTTTCTACTTCTGAGATACAGGCCTTCTTTATTGAACTAGCAGAATGAATTGTAACCTGCTACTTTCAGTACGGCTTAATGGGGCCCTAACGAACAGTTTGTAACTACGCAGTTACAATATATTAACAGCTTTAACGTGTCCTCTGACGTATGAATGAATACGGGTGTAGACAGTAAACGAAAATAAATACGTTTAATATTTTATTACCAATAATCACACTGCCATGCTTATTATATTTATAATATTGTTTAAATTGATTATAATAAACAAATATTTTTATTACAGAAGAGGGGTTCTCGCGGGAATTTTGAAAATTTAATTTATTTTTAGATTTTAAATAATAATTTAATAATGAATGATATTTTTTTAGATATATTTCATGTATGAAAAAGTTATCTACGCCCCTATTCAAGATAAGGTCATCCATCTAATGACGGGCCTTTGCAAAAGAAATTCTATTTAGTCGTCAGTCAGATAATAGAAAAAAATTACAGGCTTGAACAATTATCCGACAAAAATAAGTCTACATGTCTCAATTTGTCGTTTTGTCTCTTCTGTCATTTGTTTGTCAATTTGTTTTAGGCAGCCCATGGTTTAGACCGTTTATTTGCGCAAGATAACCCTTTATTCCAATTGTGGGATATCAGTATGTTCATGAAGTTAATGAATTTAAGGAAAATCAAGTAATGTGTTTTTCCTTAATGAAAAATCTTGGTCCTAGTTTCCTGTTAATTTAGGTCTGGAAATCTTATTACTTACTAGGTGATTATTTGGTTTAGATCCAGGACATGACGAATGCGCTTCTCAACCAAGAAGGTAATGATGCAGCAACCGTTATGATTGTTGACTGGATGGGCGGTTCGCAACCCCCGTACGGGCAAGCTGTAGCTAACATCCGTTTGGTAGGAGTTATGACAGCACACCTAATTCATAATATCTATGTAAGTATAATATGACATTTAATTTATTCTGAATAAATTAATTATTATATATAATAAATTATTCAGATAATTTATTCAGTCTAGAATAAAAATGTGTGGTAGGAAACACCATTGCTATGTCGGTGATTATTTGTTTCCTTTGGATTTGACTTGAATAGATGGCGCTTGTGTTGTTAAAGTTATCTATGAAAATGTATATTTAAACGGAGATTGATCAGTTTCATAGTTCTACAAAACCTTTTCCTAAATTAGAAAGTAGTTCTATGATATTGTTAAAATAAAATAAGCTAATCCAAATCCTAAATCCAAAACGTTTAGTACGTTTTGGATTTAGGATTTTGATTAGCGTTTAGTTTAGTCGTTTATCAGTGAAAAATTAAACACCTTAATAAATGATAAAGAAAATCACTTACTTAAAATTGCGTACGTTTAGCATAGAATTAAGACAGCATTTCAATATTTACAGGAAGTATTAGAGTTGTCAAACGTTGACAACTTTCACTTTATCGGACACTCTTTGGGGGCTCATCTGGCTGGATACTGCGGACATGCGTTACAAAAGGTACGGATTGGTGTTTATTTCTTGCATTATACAAACATTTTTTTTGACATGTAAATTAAATACGATAAAAATTACGACTTATTTTCAAAACAGTGTTTATTTTTTTCCATTTAACACAAAAATGGAATGTAGTGAGACAAATTAATGTAGAAATAATGGTATGGAGTAGAATTTCAATATCTATCGCAACTTCTTTCAAAAGTATAGCGATGTAGGTACGGAATTATGTAAGTTTTAAAGTGGCAATAGCCATTGCATCGAATTATGTCAATTAAAAATTTTAAAATTGGACAATTACGGTCAGTTGCACAAATGCTCATTAAGGTTTAATGAAGCCTTTCGGCTCTAATGGATGTCAAATTTCTATGGGTAATGTCGTTTTAAATTAATGACAATTTTAATCGACATTTGTGCAACTGGCTGTTAGCCCTATGATTTAATGACATTAATTTGTATTATTCATACTGTTAAATAACGTTTCTCTGAAAACAATCGGATGCTTTTGTAATATTTGCTTATGGTTGTATTCGTTCGTTTTACAGAAATTCAATTTGAAATTGGGACGCATTACCGGTTTGGACCCGGCGGCTCCTTATTTCAGCAAAACCGTGACATTAGTGCGTCTGGACAGATCTGACGCTAAGTACGTGGACATTATACATACGAATGCCCTCCCGTTGTACATGTCAGGTAACTAAGTATATATAGCTCTTTTACCGCGGCTTCGCAGGCGTAAATTATAGCCTACTAACTAATATTATAAATTAATACTTATAGAAAGAAAGAAAGACATTTATTGACCTGACATCTGTTCATGTAGAATAATAATGTTCAAGAAAAAAAAATACAAATATTTCCATGAAGTAACAGAGCGGTCAACATGGACCCTATCTCAGCAATGGCCCCTGTGCCACTTCAAGATTTTACTAAAAATAAAACAAATAAAAATTAGTCATCATACCTATTATGCAACTAAATCTGCTAATTATGTATGTACCCATCATCACCATCTGCCTCTTTACATCCCCACTGCAGGGGCTCAGGCCTTCATTATGGCTGGCTAAGGAGGAGGGGCCTCCAACGCGCATTGGGCAATCGTGGGGGGGGGGGGGGGGGCATAACCCTCCTCGCTTGCCCAATGCGCATTGGAGGGCAATAATGACTGCAAATGCATCCAGGGCCAACGGCTTGTCGTGTCTTCCGAAGCACGGAGTAGCTCGAGATAATAATTTTTTGTTCACCCATCCCGTGCGAAAGTTGCTTAAAAACAACGGCGCTTATCCACTTTGGTCACCCATCCCGTCTCGTTATCCACTACGCCACCGAGTTACTGTATACACAGTGTGGCAATGAATATTCTTATTCTTAATGGGTTTGCTTGTACCCAGGTCTCGGTATATCGGAGCCGATAGGTCACGTGGATTTTTATCCGAACGGTGGTTCGGTACAGCCGGGTTGTAGCGCGAGTTCTAGCCCTGGTGGTGATCTAGCGACGAGTGTGATGAGGATACTCGGATGCAATCACGTGCGCAGCTATGAGTTCTTCATTGAATCTATTACGCCCACTTGCCCGTTTACAGCGATGCAATGTGAATCATATGAGGTTAGTTTCATCAGTGTTTCTATATAACACCATCATTACACCAATCTCATTAATGTCACCACTGCTGGGGCTCAGGGATCTAGCTATAATTCTCGTCATCTTATCGATATTTATATTTCGTTTTATCTTACTTCTTTGACATGTCCTTTAGTGGATAAATTTGGGATAAAAATACTTTTGGTACCGCTGCTGTCAAATCTACAATCATCATTCTTTATCATTCGTTCGGCGTTAATAAAGTACATGTTAAAAGTACCAAAAATGAAACGAAATATCGACACAACACCGCTAAGATGTCGTATCCTTTAGCTAGAATCATGGCTTCTGAATTAGGCGGTCGCACCCCAGGCCTTCTATATGGAAGACATCGAATCGAATAAGGATATTGGGCCATGATCATTTGCCAGTGAGGATTGGTGGGTATTAACGACTTCCGATCTAACGGAGCGTTTCTGTGTTATGAATTGTATATGTTTCAATTCTTTTTTAGCACAGAGTCAGAAGTAATTCCAATAATTCAAGTCAAATTCTTCACGGTTAATGCATATTTAATACTGATTCCAAGAGCGTAAAGTTCATATTTTTTGAAAAAGAAAAGAGACGCGCTTACTGTCGTTCAATCAGCAAAAAATTCGCTACTTTATTTCAAAAGAAATATGAACATTATGTTATGGACATAAGGATAAATGTCGTATATTAATTTTTGGAATGCACCTTTAACGATGGTAGGAATTTAGCCTTAGGAACCAAGAGAGTAATATTAGACAACATTTAACGAAAAAATAAAACTAAGATATTTTCCAGCAACTAATATGAATCATAATCCATCTTATTATAAAACAGGATTAACTTTAGTATTAAGTACCTACCATTATCCAACCAAAATAAATCAACACGTCTCAACTTGATGTTTTCTCTTCTGTCATTATAAATTTATTTGAGGCCAGCAGTCTAAACCAAGCGCTAAGTTTAGTTTGTAATAAGAAATGATAAATTGCTATATAAAATAGTTTATATTTTCACAATGTTGCGCCTTCCAGGCCTTCCTCGCAGGAAACTGCACGACATGCGACTTGAAGCACTTCTGCATTCCCATGGGATACCATTCGTATTCTATGTATAAAAGACTTCACGATGGAGGACTAGTCAATACCAACTCTCACATCGCCCTCTACTCTATGACTGGACCCAACAAACCGTTTTGTAGTGAGTTTATTACTAATAATTTACAATCTCATTAGGCTACTCACGCACTGATGTTTTTTTTTCATCGTGACTTGTTTCTGTATATATGTATGGAATTTACCTAAGTGTCACGTGTTTAGGTGCGCGTCCCACCACAACTTCACTGTGTTGGGAAAACTATTAGACTATTAGATTTCTTTTTCTCCAAAAAGTGTTATTTCATAATGGAAAACGTATCATAATATATTAATTTAAATTGTCCCGCAAAAATAATCAGTCACGTGAAATTCCGAGGCGTAATGTCATATTTCAATAAGCACGAGTACTGGTTGCACTCGCAACAAAGACGTTGACGTTAAGTTTATTGAAATGTGACGTCACGCTTTGATTCGTCGTGGCCGCCCGGTTTCGGTTCTTGTAATCCACATAAAAATCTTTTTTTTTCAATAGTAAATTATACTTACAATCTTTAAAAAAAACTACATAATTATTTTTTGCGTATAAGTTTAAATTTATTTTATAACTGTCAAGTAGCCGATCCTCGAGCACGGTAACAGGAGACAAACAATGATTAGTGCGCGCGTACCCTTAGACTTAAATCATATATAGCAACCCCGTGTCAAATCCAATATCTAATCTGTCAAATCCAATCGGGTTCTTGCGGGCATATTTTTTATCAATATTTAATTGACCGTTCTTTAAAAAAATCCAGGAAACAAGTCGATTACTTTATATTCTACTCAAGTCTCTTTGTTAGTAATATATAGATAATATTCCCTAATAGGTATTGTATTTGTGATAAATGTTTGATTTAGAACCCTTAAATAATTGCTTATAGAAATCCAATATCACCAGTTGACGATTACTTGACTTTAGTACATTATGTGATCGAATCTATTGTCTTATTTGAAATATCCCTCCTCCTGCTATAAGATATTATTGTATTTTAAAATAATGACTTTAAATATGTATGTACAAATAAGGTTATTATCTCAATAAAACTTATAAATTACTAGCTTACCGCCAGCGGCTTCGGCGTGGTCAATAGGGAACTGTTTATTTGGATATCCGGTCATATCACGATACGAATATAATTACAATGACAAATTGAATAGTAAGAATGGTTACTATGGTAACATTTTAATTACCTATACAAGCTGCATGTATTGTGTATAATAATAATAGGATTGATGTCTTACTTTTATTTCTGTCGGTTAGATTTTTTAAAGAATAAAATACACTTTTTTTTGCGTAATCAATAATTTACGGCGATATGTTGTTGACATCTTTGTACACCTTCTACATAGTTGTGACGTAGCGAGTAGCTCGGTGGGGTAGTGGATAAGCGCCGTGGCCCGCGATCATTGTTTCAAGCCGTTGGTCCCGGCTGCATTTGCGTGGAGGGTCATGTCCCATCCTTCTTAGCCATCCACAAAGAAGGCCTGAGCTCCCGCAGTGGGCACTTAAAGGGCTAATGATGATGGCCACGTAGCGAGCCTCCACTTCCCAACTTTAACGCCTATTGTCTAAGTAATTTCTTGTTAAATTGAAGTAAATAAAGGGTACGTATCTAATATTTTTGTACCATCTGATTGACGGACTAAATAAATTCTCTTTTATTACCCATACATTATCCTTTTTCTCAATAAAACTTGAAATATGTTGTGATGGAAATTGTACGGTTATTCTATAGCAACTATTTATATTTTATATTAGGAGTACATTACGAGATCACACTGAAAGTTTCTAACTCCACCGAAAGCAGAACACGCGGCCCTGAGTCTGGAAAAGTTTTGGTAACCCTCGTGGACAAGAACAACAATAAGAGCGACCACAAGTTCTTGAACGATGAGCAGTAAGTATTAAAGTCATTACACTATTACCACGTTTAGGAATTCCATTCTGTTACAAAAACCACCTCAACCTTGTCATTACCTTTACTACATTTTGAACTACTATTACTACAGTACCACTACGTTTTTATTGATTAAACTTCGAAAAGTATTCGAGTCTGTTTTTATAACAGATTACATAAATAGATTACAGTACACAAAGTGGATGGGAACACTCCGGAACACCGTTCCGTTCACCGAAATCAAAGTTCCGTTTCATACAAGTAAAAAAGAGAGAGGGGAGGGGGGGGGGTGTCTAAAGGCGCAATACAAAGTTACTGTTCCGGTTGGAAAAAATCATAGATTCGGGCCTGTGAAAGAAAATAATCAACAAACAAAATATATTGAAACTAATATAAATAATATTTTTCAGTGTTACTTCGTGTACCTCAGTAATGTTTTGATTTAGATAAAAACAGAGAATTAAACTGTAAACTTCTTCGCCATTTTAGATATTTATCATTTGTGTTTACGTTTGTTTTCAAACTTTGAATCTGTAGGTATTGTTTGTTGTTTTATATACGAAATATCTGTTTGACCTACTTATCAGATATTCACGAACAAAAATGTAAGATATATAGGTCAAGCAAAAATACGTAATCATCTGCTATTTCGTAATATAAACAACGCAATATCGTAAATATAAGATATAATTTCAAAGCAATGCACGTCGACATATGGAAATTGAAACAGTGAATCCAATCATTCACACTCTCGAGACAAGGTCTTGGAGACAGCGAAGGCCATGACAAACCAGACATGTTCTGTTAACAGCACATCAACGTCTCTTAATCTATCGTATTTCTCCAAAGGACAAAATTTTATTTTGCTGGTTGCATATTGTGTATTAACTGGAAACAGACTGCTGCCTAAAGTGTGTACCAGGAATTGCGACTGCAGAGGTCATTGAAAATACTTAATATCGGATATTATGAATGTGAAAACATGTTTTTCTTTTTCATGTAAAATCTTCTTAATCTTGTTAAAAGGTCGCGTAACGATAATCTATTCTCTGTACTACAAAAATTAGGTGATCACCTAATCTACAGGTAGGTTTATGATAGAAGAAATCATTTATTAATATATGGTTTTCAGAAAATACTACAAGCCCGGTGAGATAGAGAAGAAAATGATTGCCGTAAAGGACAGAGGTCATCCCCCTCTATATGTCATTGTGGAGTGGAAATACGAGACCAATCTGTTCAACCCGATGACCTGGCGGCTATTAAAATCACCGAGCATACATATTGAATATTTGAAGCTCTCTTCTATTGAGTATAACACTGAGTAAGTATTCCATTTTGTATACCAACAGAACATTTTTATCACAAATAGACAGAAAAAAGGAGTTAACCTCGGAAGGAGAGATAGTAATATGGAAATAATCATTAAAGCTGTTTAAATCATAGCTCAAGTCTCATAAAATCTCGTGTTTTCTTTGTAAGTTATTCAAGGTCATACTTAACTGAAATATTATTTGCTGGCGGCTTGATAATAAAGGCCTCTATACACTAATCCCGGAGTGACTCGGCGGGCGCGGGCAAGCGTGGTTTTGAAACGATTTGAAATTATTCCATAAATATTAACAGTCTAATATCGTCCCATCAATATATTATGCGATACAAAATCAAACGACGGTACTAATCATTCATCATCATCAGCCCTTTATTTCGTCTCCACTGCAGGTGCTCAGGCCTTCCTTATGGATGGTTAAGGAGCATGGGCCATGACCCTCCACGCTGTCCCAATGCGGATTGTCGGGTATTAACACCTACAAATGCAGCCGGGACCAACGGCTTAACGTTCCTTCCGAAGCAAGGAGTAGCTCGAGATAATAAATTTTTTTGGTCACCCATCCCGTGACCGACCTTTGCGAAAGTTGTTTAACGACAACGATCCCGTGCCGCGGCGCTTATCCACTACGCCACCGAGCTACCCTACTATGTACTTATCATTAAAAGGCCACAAAGAAACTGTCTCCATCTAGCGGAAGCCTCGGAGAAGAGCGAGTTTTAATAACTGTTTTACTGGAATACATTACAGACGTATAGTATTAATTATTCATCTTGGCTAATCGCACATCATTACTTTGTAGTATATTTTAGCTTTAAAATTATAGTTGTTATCTATATTCACTATGCTGATATTATATAATTAATTATTTGTTTCAGTATAACCGTCTGTCCAAAGTTGAACAAACCTGTGGTTGCGAATCTACCCACAATCATGAAGACAAAATACTGTAAATTTACAAAATAAAATTGTGCATGCTACTATCGATTTAATGAGCATTTGGACGATATACTTAAAATCAATGCAAATTATTTATTACAAAAAGTATTGTAATAGTATTTATATTTTTAGGTTTATTTTTTTTATTAATAAGTCGTTAAGTTATAATAAGTGTGATAAGATTTTAAATAAAAAACATTCAACTGTACCTATTTATTATTTTATCTAACACTAATATTTGTCATTTATTTATTTTGAATATATAGGTTTGTGTGTTTTTTTTACCTATAAATCAACGAGGAAGTGTTAAAAAAGGAATACTAAAATCAATATTACTGTGATCTATATTGTGATAGGGCCGGATCTAAGGGGGGCATAATCATCGTATTAGGTCGCAATATGAAGTTTCTGCGGGCCTGTACTCTATGGGAGTAGTGCTTGCTTTTTGTTTTGCAGGGTGGGTTCAACGACCTATCTATCTACCACCATCATGGCAGTATACTAAAGCTAAAAACACGATGCTGTCGACCTGTCAGCTACCCTATTGAAATTTAAAATAAGTTCTTGACCCATCCAGTCCTTTATTTACCTTGGATCGCTAAGTTTCGGAAATAAACGAGATTTTATGGCACTGCTGGGTTGACGTTAGCCCCAGAGCTAGAACACTATGTTAATATTAAATTTAAAAAACAAATTCACGATATTGTTTATCCCCTATTGATCACTATGTAATTAAGTGGTAATAACTCAATATATAAAGAAATAGTGTAGCATTGCTGAGCTGACACCATTTCAGCACCGCCACGAGAATATCCTGCAAGTATTCACCACTATAGGGTGCCAAGGAGTGAAATAAATTTTACAAGATATATCAGTAACCACAGAGTTTTTAGTGCTCTCATTTATTCAGTCTCCTATTTATATGACGAAATACTGTTATTTATATTATTAAAACCTAGAATCGGAATAAATAGGGATGAAAATCATGTTTAACTCCTGTAATATTTACTTTTCCTGCTTTGATTACAACGGTACAAAGTAAGTCAGTTGATATAATAAATGCATTAGCTTCTGGTATTGAATTATAAGTTTTGGCAGAGAAGGGGTAAAGAACACGAAAATAAATTAAATACAATTATATCACCTCATTCTAAATACAACATGGCGGTCCAACCAAGATGGCGGACTAGTTATTTTCAAGCACTCACATAATATAGGTATGGTGCCCATATTATGAGAGTGCATTAAAAATATTTTTCAGGATAGAATTGTGAATACAAAATAATTACAATAAATTTTCATCTTTATGGAAAGTTTTAACATTTCCTTAGGCTGTTTGGGTGGATTGCCTGAACATTGATGAAAATACGCTTTTCAGAAGCGAAAAAGTAAAGAGTGCTTGAAAGATTCGTCCGTTCTGTTAGTTTTTGGGTAGCTCAGTACTTAAAGCAGTCGCCGGATTGCGAAATGTCATGGCTTCGAATTCCATCTCAGAGTGCCAAGGACAAAGTGTGTTTTTTAAGCATTATTTAGAATATCAATGTATTTTCTTCTACTTTTGGTTACCTAAATTCGTTTATAATTTTAATAATATCAATATACGTTATTATAACTTAGGTAATGAAATCTGAGTCAAGATGGCCATCTAAGAGCTTGTCAAAATTGTATTCAAACATTTTAAAAAGTAATGACAGGAACCAAGTAAATCGAACACATTATCAATAAAAAATAAATAAACTATTATTCTTAAAATAAAAAAAAAGATACCCTTTTGTTGCATTGTCGAAACAGAGTAAAAATATATTAATAAAATGAATATAAAATGTGCCTGTATGTCTTTAGATTCTTTTGCCTACTAAGTTCAAATGGAATTTTATGAAACAGAAATATGACATTTGTAGCGGGTGTTGTTTCTTGTTGACTATGTGAATTCTTAATTCGATTCGATACATAATATATAATAGTGTTATATCATCTTTGGTTATCGGGATCTTAATTGAATAAGTCGTCAAAATGGGTGACACGCGTAAAAAGAAGTTTTACTTTAGAAAACGAAGAAACAAATATTTCTTGGAACCCGGCTTTCGTGGATTCTTCTGCACGTGTAACTTCAGAGAGAAAGAATGCGTGAAGGAAGTTTACAATCTCTTAAATGAATATGCTGGAAAGCTTTATCCAGATTTGGGGGCTGACCAAATCCCCGATGGTTCAGCGCCAGCCACACCCGATGCTCGATCCGATAGTGAATCTGAAGATGAGCCTGATATCGGAGACTTACTAAAGAAAGAGGTCGATTCCATGAAAAAAAATTCACAAAAGTCTCTAAAGCACAAAAGGTTTCAAGTGGTTGAAACTGGTGCATCAAATTGTATCTTTATTAAGACTAATCTACCTAGCCCAGAAGAGGTGGCCACAGCTATTATCAAAGATTTATTTACTACAAGGGTACAAAAAACGCGACACGTTTTACGTCTTCTTCCTGTTATGGCTACATGCAAAGCTAATTTGCCAGACATTATGGAATGTGCGGGGAGGCTATTTGACAAATTTTTCTTAAAAGAATCTGCATCTTTTGCTGTTATTTTTAACAAAAGATTGAACAGCAGTGTTTCTAGAGATTTAGTAATCAAGGAACTAGCAGAAATGGCTGTTATGAAGAATGCAGATAATAAAGCAGATCTTAAAAATCCTACTTTATGTATTGTTGTGGAAATCATAAAGGGGATTTGTTTGTTAAGTATTGTGGAAAACTATTACAAATATAAAAAGTATAATGTTCATGAATTAACAAAAGACGAGTCTTCAAATGAGTGTGAGGAAACACAAGCGAAAAAATTCAAAAGTAATCCAGAAGAAGGTGTGGCTCAGTAAATTGAATTTATTTACTATGTTATCCTATCATAAGATCGCTAAGTCTTTTAGGGACCCAAAAACCATGTACCAAAATTATATATGTTTTAAAACTTCACTAAATAATCATTGATGTATGTGCTACAAAGTGTTTTATTCAATGTAATTTTACATACCTATTATCATAATACCATGCTTATAAGGCCCTTGTTTAGATAAGGCACCAGTTATGCAATATAATTGCTGTTACATAAGTGAAACCTGTTTGATTTGTTAGCACCAGCATTATATAACTGTTGTTACATGATTGCATTGTATTAAATTACAAAGCTTTGAAAGGCTGGAGAATGCAAGAGTTAATATTAACATTTTACAAATTAAGTGATAATGTGAGATTAATGAGCAATTCTATAGTATACTATAAATATATCTAACTGAATCTAAACCTTCAATAATTTTTAATAATTCAGTATTTTTACTTATTGAAAATATCTACAGAAGTACGACACATCTAATTCATTTATCTCGTCATGCTTTCCGAAATTTAGTTACTACAGTAATTTGTAGATGGCGGTGTATTCAATATCTACTGTGTTTTAAAGTGACGTACATTATGGAGCGTACAGACTGATAAAAACTTAAAAAAAGAACCGACATCAAACTTTAAAAAAGTGATAAATAATACTTATCTCAAAAGCGATTTATTCAAGAGAATGCTATGATGTCGGGGGTAGTTTTCTGTAGGTTATTAAATAATTCATAATGGCGCTCGACTTCAATTGCATTTTCTTGATTATGTCGCTTTTGGGATAAGTATTGATTATCACTTTTAAAAAGTTTGAAGTCGCTTGTTTTACATAAAGTTTTTATTACCTAAATGGTCATATCTGGTTAAAAGCGTGTTTTGTTTTGTTGTAAAAGGAAAACTACTGATTTGATTTCGATAAAATTGAAATGGGACCACCTCGGTCCATTAAAATGTCTAATGATATAGAATTTGAAAATCGGTCAACATTGGCAAATCGATGAACGGATAGGTGAAGATATAAATAAAAATAATACATAAAAAAAAAACAAATTTGGCGACTCTAACCGGATCGTACGCTTATTTGTAAACATCACCATCGAACATATAACCTCCTCCTTTTGAATTTTTAAAGTCGGTTAAAAAGCAACTTTTGGTATTTATTTTCCGAATATCGGCCTCCTTATAAGATCATTTTTTATGGATAACGAAAATAATTTATCCTTCGGATTTAAAAAATAAGCAACACGAAATGTCAAATATTTCCTTTAGTTCCTGGTTAGTAGAAGTCATCCTCATTAACTTTACCCGGGTTCCTATTAACTATATTCTAACACTTTTAAGTTTGAATTATTAATTTATCGAGAGAAAATATACGTAGAATACATCCTATTGTAAAAGCCTTATAGAGTAGGAGGTATCCTAGAACTTACCTAAATTGTTTTCCATTGAACTTATAAAGCGAAATTAAAGAGTTCGAATAGAATTCGATCTCATAAATGGTAAAAACCTCTTGTTTAAATGTAAGATTTTACAAAAAGGGGTGATTTTTGTAAAATTCTTACATTTGTTACTAGTATAAGTTTAACCAATGATGGTGTTGTAAATGTTAGAATTTAAAATAAAACAATAAGTACTTCATAATCTTAAATTTCAATTACATTTCACTCAAAGCCTTACTTATTGTTAAGTATTTTTAATTCCCATTATTGGACTACTAGTAAGGGTCTCCGCGTTCAGTCCGAAAGTTAAATAAAACATTTATAGAAAAGACTTAATACGTCTTTGGTAATGCTAACGATTTTATTTTTCATTTATAATTTGTTCCTTCTTTTCGAGTCACGCATGAAATTTATCCAATTTACAAGTCTTTGGTTATCAAAAAAGCGTTCCCCCGATAAAATATAAGATGCGATAAATGAATATGCTACTACTTAATAATTATTTGGTTTTCACGCTCTTTGGATTTGCGATTTTTTATCAGGATATTATCACTCGCCCACCATTTTGTCTTTGATACCAAAGTTTCGCAATTCAAGTCTATTATTCTGCTTATAATTGGCTTATGTTATTTATTTGGTAAAAGGACAATAAAATATTATTATGACTGGCCATGTGTGTCAATCGTAAAACTTGTATTCTCTTATTGTTCTAATGATTCCAGTTACTTTTGATGTGTGCAACAAGGTGTTAAGAAACAAATAAAAAAAAAATACGTGGACAGTACAGTGAAAATATAAGTTTAGATCTAGTTTTGTTTTCTTTAGCGTGTTTCTCCAGTCAACTATTCGTCATCATCATAATTTCAGCCGGTAAACGTCCACTCCTGGACGAAGGCCTCCCCCAAAAATCAGTACGTCGAATGGTCAATAAAAATGTTGAAATAATTGGCATGTGAAAGCAATCGTAAATATAGTAGGACCTCTACTTAATTCCGTCACTTTCAAGGACGTCCTAACATTTTTTCACGTCTATCGTGATTTTTATAAAGAATCAAAGCTTTATACGTTTATCTTTGCGGAACGGCTGTTGAGAATTGATTCTTCAGATATCAATATTCTTAAAATATCAATAATAATAATGACAAAGAAAAAATCTTACAAAGACTATGTGTAATGTATACTACAGAAGTCTGTAAGCATACGCTTAAGAAGATCACACCGACAGCTGTTAAAGTATATTATAAATTGTGTCTCAGGTTACACATTCTAGGGCCACAGCTGCCGGTGGTTACTCAAAAACTTTGAAAACTTGATTAGTGAAGACGACACTGAGGCTTCTGCTTTGTGATAACCTCTTCCTAGGCCGCAACTGCCTAAACTTCTAACCATGTTTTCGGCAGCTCCTTTTCAGAAATTTTTGACATTCTGTTCTGTTTCTAGATTTTTATTTAAAACAGCTTATATATTTATTTGCTTTTACTTTGTCTGCTGTAGGCAATTTGATATATGTATTTTACAGTAAGTGTATTTTAGAGTGAGAGATATATATATCTGAGCCTACCAACTACTTTTGTAAAGTGTAAAAGGGAGGTATTAAATTCTTAGTCTTGAAATAAACTTTGTATTTTAAGCTTATTAGGTTACTATTGGCAGTGACGTAATATATCTCAACTTTAAAAGAAGGTGGATTAGGTTAGGGTGGCTGTAAATTTAGCTGAACCTTCGAACCAGAGCGGCGGACTTATCCAATATCGGGAGCGGTTTAGACAAACAACCGCAGGCTACGTGCACAATGTATGTAGGCACTCGATCGATTACATACATGAGAAAATTTATAAGTGAACGCTAAATACTTTTATGTAGGTAAGTTATATTTTATATCTATAGTATATGGTAAAAGTATCAACATTAATTCTGATACTATTCGCAGTATCATTTTTAAATGGAAGCTGATTTAGGTAGTGGTTGGAAGGAATTTAGTACTTTCCGTCAATCTCATATTCTATTCCCACTAATAGCAAGTACATTTTATATTTAATTATCCAGTTTAAACGGCAGTGAGTTACCGTTAAGTAACTACTTAGAATTCATTATTTACGATAAGAAAAAAAGCGACCTGTATGTACAATCACGGACATTGCGCTTTATTTAATACGCTACTCTGAAGGCCAGCTTTATAACTTTCAGAGGTATAATTATTAAGTAAATGGTGGGTTAAATTAGAAAAAGCATCAGTGGTGTTAAAAATGACGTGTATATTATAGTAAATGATACAAAATTGTTTTGACAAACCCATTAATCCCATTTCAAAATACTTTTTTAAAACCTGTATGAAAATAAATAAATAAATGCCTATTTAAGTATGTACTTAAATAAGTATTTATTTCAAAATCAAATCTACAGCAATTTCTTATCTCAATAATAGGGGAACATTTTCACGTTATAAAATGAAAAATAATTATTTTATTTTATTCTGGTTTACCTTTAGTAGGAATAATGTTTAATGATTTGCTATTTCTACTAACTTGCTAATTGTGACTTATAATTAGTTTTTTGTTGTTATTAAGTTTATTATTTTTTCATTGTTTAGCTGTAAGTTTTCCAACAATTTAATAAATAAAGATTGTGTTATCTTTTAGTTTATTTGTATCGCAAATTCATTGTTTATATTTTATCGTGATAGAGGGAACGAAACAGTTACGTGTAACTGTCATTTCGTTATTTAAGGCGGGAAAAAAACCGATGCAGATTTTCGGCGAGCTGAAAAGTTTTCCTGCAACCGTAACTTTGTCTATTACACTGACTTCGCTGAAATCTATGTCGCACTCAGAAGAAACTCGCTCTACAGACTAATATTTCGCGCATTTCAGTGAACAGAATACTGAAATATGATCTTAAGGTAAAAGCCTATAGCCGTAATAAGTTCACTTTTTAAACGATCTTTTTCGTAAGCTACGACGCGAACGTTATCCATTGCTGCTGAGAAGACATGGTCCCAGGAAGATACTCCTCACCGACGAAAAAATTTTTACTTTCGAAGAAAAGTTCAACCGACAAAACAATAAAGTGTTAATTGGCTATATTATATTATAATATTATTATTATAATCAAAATTAAGTATTAGAAGTATTGTAATCGTTAGCCATCCTGACGTAAAAATATTTATTTCCAAATTACAAAATGAAAGATGAAAACAATTCATCAAATAATTTGTATCACAGAAAATAATCAAATATGATAACAATTTAACAAAACCTTTACCCTAGTAACAAACTTACGTTGAATAAAAAGGATGTGCATTACAATTAAACAATAATTATATAAAACACAAACATCCAGAAAATAACCATTTAAATTTACATTAACCTAGTGTTAGTCACGAAATAACATTTACCAAAATTGAAAATAAACTTAAGTAGGTATGTATTAAATATATATTTTTTTAAATTGTAAATAGTTGCTTTAATTTACGAACTCGAATTATAATAACATAGCTTCTAAATTCTGTCTGAAGCTTAAATACAAAAGAAAATAAAGAGTAGGTATACATAATTTTTATTTTGAATGATTTAATCGGTATAGTTTATAACATTACAAAGCCATTCTGGCGTAATAATTGTTATTCTAAAAATGGATTGGATGAAAAAAAAATATTATTCGTATCACAGAAAATAA